GCCACATGTCTGTTGTAGCCCCAGGATGCTGTCACACTTGTTCTTAATGTACTTCAGAGTGTTTTCCTAGGGCCCAGTGGGTTAGCCCTCCCTTGCTCCTGTGAGCCCTGGGCTCCTGGACACCTGGGGCAGGTGACTGGTGCCCAGCAGTGTTTGTATCTTTGCTCCTTAGCTGTTCTTGCTGCAGATGGGCCCTTCACAGCATCCTAACCCCCACTCAAAGACCAAAGTGCAGCCCTCCCAAGGTACCACTTGACTGGTCTGGACAGGGTCCAGGCTGGTTTGTCCTTTTAAGAGTCCTGTGATTCCTATTCTCATATCTCTGCCCTAATGAAGGCTTCCTACTGTGATTCAGGAGTGTGGCTCCAGCAGGGCCTGGTGCAAGCCCCATGAATGCATACATCTTACATTGTCATGACTTACATAGACAGCCGTCTCCCTTGCCCCACAAGCAGCGTCTTCCCATGCCCATACTGAGTAACTGTGACCCAAGCCCAGCTCACCACATCATCTTACTACTTGTGCTGTGAATGATTTTATAAGAGCTTTATTACGATATGATTTCAGTGATGAAATTTTCCCTCTGAAAGTATGCAACTGAGTGGCTTTTAGTATGTTCACAAGGTTGTACAAACATTACCACTAATTTCAGATAATTTTTGCCACCCCAAATCTCACAACCGCTAGCAGTCCCTCCCCACTTACCCTCCCTCAACCCGGAGCTGCTTGCTGTCTGCAGAGTTGAGAGTTGTCTGGACTTTCATCTGATTGCATCACACAGCAGGGGTGGCTGTTAGGGTCTGGCTTTTTTACTGAGCAAGATGCTTATGCTATAGCATGGGTCCTGCTGCATCCCATTATGGCTGAAGGCTGGTCCGTTGAATGGATGGACCACTTCTGCTTACCACTGTCTGCTGATGGGTTGTTTCCTTCTTTGGTAATATGGTGAGGTTGAGAGGATTGTAATCTTGTCCTGTGCTGACCTGTGGTGGGAGGGACACTAAACAGATGCCTTACCCCACAGTCCAGTTCTCAGACGCAGGACTGATGACACTGGAGCATCAGCAATACTGATGTTCAAGTTTCACCTTAATTCAATATTTCCTGAGATCCTTTATTCCAGGATTGCCTGGAGGGGTTGAAAGGATGGAATGCCCAGCTGTATCCTCTAGTGGTCTGGTTTAATTGGTGAGGAGAAAATCTGAGCTTCCATATTTTTATAAGCAGCCCAAACATTCTCATGTGCAGCAATGGTTACAAATCTTTTGCCCTATACTCTCTGTCCTGTTCTTCTTGCAGTTAGCCACAAAGGGATCCTCTTTCCTCAAGACCATGGAAGAACCCAGAGGAGCACGGATAGGGGTAGCACACCCTCCCTCATCGCTTTGTCTCTTCAAATTCATTTCTAGAAAGGTCAGGAGTAAAAGAGGAAAAGTATAGGACTTGTACTAAATAGAACCTCCTGTAGAGCCGAAAGGATTCTCCTCTGGAAACAGCAAATTCTGAACCCATTCCCCAGTCTCCACTCTAGTAACTATAAATCCAGGACATCCAGTCTCCCCCACTCTGTCCCTCCCAAGTGCTGCCCCTGCAGTCCTTTCCCCAGCTCAGCCCTTCCCTCCAGGCCCAGCAGGAGATGCTGCAGACTTGCTGAGCCAATTGCCAGGGGCAGGGCCAGGCCAGGGCCTGCCTCAAGCCTCTGCTTACTTTTGCTTTTTCAGGGATCAGCTGTCCACATCCACATTTTCTAAGTTCAAATTTACTTTTAGAAACAGTACGGTATGAGACCACAAAAAGGAAATAAATGTTTCTGCAGCTGCCTCCTAATTATCCATGAGCTTCAAGCCTTTCTTGGAATCAGTGACTCACCATGGAGCAGGGTCCTGTTTAGCTTTCACTTCCTGGAGGGGACACAGAGGCCCTTCATAGCTGCCCCACACTGTAAGGTGGGGGCTTGGAAGTGCTCATTTGGGTTAGGGGTCCATTAGTTCCTAGCCAATGACCTTTTGCTATTTTAGCTCATTTTCACAGTTAGAGTTACTATGATTAAACGCTACATAAGCAGGCTGTTCAGTTCACTTTGTGAGCACCCGGGGGACACCCTCCTGTGCTGCTCCTGGTGTTGCAACAGTAGGCCCAATAAAGACTTGCTGGGCTGGTAACCTGCTTCACCCCTGGGTATGAGAGAGTTGTCACACTTTCTGGGGGGCCCTGACCTGGGGGAGGTGCTGTTAGGAGAGAGCTCCACCTGTGGTGCCTGCTGTCATCCGCCAGCACTGCAGCAACCTAAGATTACAAAAACCCACCAAGAGCCCAGAATAACTGGAGAGGCTTCTCCTTGCCTACCACAATTTCTGGCTCTTAGAGCAAAAGGACCCCATCAACTGGTTTGTAACAATACCTCATTCACTCTATCCAGAAGACTTCTTTGAGATCTGAAGTGTGCCAGACCTTGTGCCTGGCTTCTAGGAGCTAGTGGAGCCTGTGCTCAAAGACTGCTGAATGGGGCAGAGCTAGGGACTAAGAATTGCTCTCCAGGGAAGGTACATGCTCAGCTGAGTCTTGACAGTCATTCATGTGGAAAGGCTCTTCCAGTGGGTTCAGGCTGCTTGGGCAGTGTCCATGTGAGGATGGCTGTGGAAAGCCTCATCCTGGTCTTTGCCTACACAGATGTGCCAGCCCCAGAGCAGCCCCTGAAATGGTTCTCCCATTTTATATATGTGGAAACAGACCCAGAGTCAAGTTGTTACTGTCCTATTAAGGACACCTGGCTCTGAGTGGCAGAACCAGATGACAGCTAAGGAGTATGGTTTCAAAACTTAGTGCTAAACTCTTCATCCCCATTTCTTATTCAGGAGGCAGACCTACTTGAAACAGGAAGCTGAGTGCAGCGAGTAAGGGGTGCAGGACTCAGGAATTGGGGGACTGTGATTCCATTTTTTTTCTCTCTGGTACTGAGGTTTGAATTCAGAGACCCACGCTTGCTCAGCAGGAACTCTACTATTTGAGCCACTCCACCAGTCCTGTTTTATGTTGAGTATTTTCAACACAGGCTCTTTCAAACTATTTGCACTGGCTGGCTTTGAACCTCAATCCTCCTGAGTAGCTAGGATTACAGGTGTGATTTATTTTGGATGTAAGTCAAGACCCAGGTGGGAACATGTGGGGAGCTCAGAAAAGAGTGTGCACTGTCTATCCAGATGTGGGAGCTAGGCCTAGGCTGGTCGTTCATACCTTGGACATAGATGAATTTGCTCAAGGAGTGAGAAGAGGGTGGGACATCAGACTGCAAGAGCTGCAGGGAAGGTCGGGCTGTGCAGAGAGGAAGTTGGAGCCCCAGCATGAAATAGGTTCATATAGCCACCTGCTGAGAAGGAGCCGAATCCATTGTGCCCTCTCTTTCCCTCTCCATATCACTTCCTCAAATTTCCTAGAAGGCTCATTATTATGTCACTGTTGAAATTATATTTTTGATATATTAGTTTAGTACAAATTATTAAAATCAGTTTCTTCCACATATAGCGGCTTTCTCTTATGTGGTTACTAGAAACGTGTGCCTGTGCTCCTCATTCTGTGCTTCTGTTGGGCACTGCTGCTGGACTATCCAGTGCAAGCCTCGACAAGCTCACTGAGAGCTCTAGTTTGAGTTCGGTCTGGAAAACAGAAACTGTGTGGACATTTTGAGCATGAAAGAAAATGGCCAGGGAGGGTTGTGTCCATGCAGAACAGGGAGGAGGGGGATCAATGACAATGTGCAGTGAAGGACAGCATAGCTGGGGACAGGGAGGAGAGAACCATAGTTGCAGAAGGGGAGGAGGCAGGTGGGCTGGAGGACAGCTTTGAGGAGGGGAGGGTGGGTTTCAGAGTTCTTTTTTCACCTGTCCAGAGAGCTGAAGGCCAGTGAAAGGGCCTTAGTCCAGTGAGTGGATTCATGTGGCAGGCAAAGAGTTCTCCGGTCTCCAGAAGATGAAGGGTGGTGGGGTTGCTGGCTGTTTTAACTCCTGTGATGGCCCTGGGCTGCCATCTTCCTGGCACTATCTGTGGGGGACCACCGTGAAAGATGTATTGTTTTAGTGTTTTGTGCTATGACAGGATTATTCAGACTGGATGATTTATAAGGAACAGAAATTACTTGCTCCCATTTCTGAGGCTGGGGATTCCATAGTAAAAATACCGACAGGTTCTTTGTGTGCTGAGGGTCCAATCTCAGTTTCCCTGGGTACCTGGGTGCTGTGTCCTCACATGGCAGAGAGAAGGCAAAGGGCAAACTCCCTCCCAGACCTTTTTAACAGAGAGGAGCCCTGGGGGCAAGGGGTATCCCTTAAAGGTCCCTGTTCCCAGTACTGCCACATTGGCAACACCCGAATTTTGGAGGGGACACATTCAGATGCCAGCAATGCATTATTTTTCAATAGTTTATATTCTTCCGCGCTTTTTATAATTGTGATTTTAATTGTGACAGTGCGATTTGGCTGACTTGGCTTGAGAGCAAGGTCTGGACTCAGTAATTGGATTATGTAAAGCATTTTCAACTGAGATTTAGATCTCAGTTGTTGAAGGTTTGACAAACACATCCAACTCTAGTAATAAAAACTTTTATTTAAAAAGTTGTGCTGGCAGAAGTGCCAGATTATTTATGGTAACAGACCACGAACAGAGGCTTGTTGGAACGTCCTAAAACAGAAGGCAGTGACCCCGAGCTGGGTAAAGACATCCTGAAATTCAAGTAGTTTTTAAGACTTTGCTCTCAACAAGAATCGGGAAAGCCCAATCAAGTACTTATTTTTTATTTTTTCTAGAGACGGTCCAGGCTGGCCTCCCCAGTGCTGGGATTTCAGAAGTGCAACACCAGCCCAGCCCAATTAAACTGGGCTTCATTAAGGATGGCGGGAGCCCCTACCTGAAGACTAAACCACAGGAGATGGCACGTGACTCCAGAGCGCCACCGGGAGGCGTGAGTTCAAACGGCAGGAGTTACAAATAAACAAAAGCACGACAGATCAGAATGTCTTGGGGCATTTGGCTAGCACTCGTGCAAGGAACTGGGCCAGGGGCATTGCGAGGCCTTCACGAGGAGCCTCAGCGTGCCCGCCATCCTCACGCCCCCTTCCCTTCCGCCCCTCCTCCGCCGTCCCCCCCTCCTCCTCCGCCGCCCCGCCCCTCCTCCGCCCCCCCTCCGCCCCCCTCCTCCTCCGGCCCCCCTCCTCCTCCGCCGCCCCCCCTCCGCCCCCCTCCTCCTCCGCCGCCCCCCCTCCGCCCCCCTCCTCCTCCGCCGCCGCCCCCCTCCGCCCCCACTCCTCCTCCGCCGCCGCCCCCCCTCCGCCCCCACTCCTCCTCCGTCCCCCTCCTCCGCCGTCCCCCTCCTCCTCGCCGTCCCCACTCCTCCGCCGTCCCCTCCTCCTCCGCCGTCCCCCTCCTCCTCCGCCGCCCGCCCCTCCTCCGCCGTCCCCCTCCGTCCCCCCCTCCTCCTCCGCCGCCCCGCCCCTCCTCCGCCGCCCCCCCTCCGCCCCACTCCTCCTCCGCCGCCCTCCTCCTCCGCCGCCCCCCTCCTCCTCCGCCGCCCCCCTCCGCTCCCCTCCTCCTCCGCCGCCCCACTCCTCCGCCGCCGCCCCTCCGCTCCCCTTCTCCTCCGCCGCCCCCTCCTCCGCCGCCCCCACTCCTCCGCCGCCCCCACTCCTCCGCCCCCCTCTCCTCCGCCGCCGTCCCCTCCTCCTCCGCCGCCGTCCCCTCCTCCTCCGCCGCCGTCCCCTCCTCCTCCGCCGCCGTCCCCTCCTCCTCCGCCGCCGTCCCCTCCTCCTCCGCCGCCGTCCCCCCCTCCCCCAGGCGCGTTCTCGCCAGGAAGGTGGTCGGACGCGCACGAGCGCCATGACGTCAGAGCACGCAAGTGAGATGGCGGCCCTCAGGGGTGCCGCGCGTGCGCGTCCCGTGGGCGCGCGACCCGGCTTCTAGGCCAAGGCGGGCCGAGGCCACGCCCACGAGGCGGTGCTTGGATGGTAGGAGGCGGGGCAAGGGTCTGCGGAACTGGCGGGCAAGTGGGCGGGGCCCGGGCCGCCGTCCGCCCTCCCCTTCCCCAGATCTCGCGAGAGTGACAATGTGTGACGTGCGCTAGGGCCGGCGTGTTGCTGGCGCCGGCGGGCGTGTTTGAATCTGGTCCGAGCGCGGGAAACAGCCGGTCCCGGGCGAGGTGAGTGCTCCACAGAGCCGGATGGGCTCCGACCTGGGCGGGAAGACGGCGGGGACGGCGGGCGGGTCGCACCTCGAGGATGGGGTCGGCCTTGACTCGCTGCTCCGGGGCCGCTGTAGCACTCTGGGTGCCTGACGGGCCAGGCCGGGGAGGCGGGAGAGCCGTCCTGGGCGCGGGATTGACTGGCGGGGCACCCCGCCCCACTAGTCCTGGACCCGGGATGCCTCAGAGAAGACCCCAGCCCTGGACTTAGACCCAGAGAGGGCCCCAACCTGCATCCCTGGGAGACCCAGAGAGGACCCCACCCTGCATCCCTGGGAGACCCAGAGAGGACCCCACCCTACACCCCGGGGAGACCCAGAGAGGACCCCACCCTGCACCCCGGGGAGACCCAGAGAGGACCCCACCCTGCATCCCTGGGAGACCCAGAGAGGGCCCCACCCTGCATCCCTGGGAGACCCAGACAGGACCCCACCCTACACCCCGGGGAGACCCAGAGAGGACCTCACCCTGCACCCCAGAGAGGACCCCACCCTACACCCCGGGGAGACTCAGACAGGACCCCACCCTACACCCCGGGGAGACCCAGAGAGGACCCCACCCTGCATCCCTGGGAGACCCAGAGAGGACCCCACCCTGCATCCCTGGGAGACCCAGAGAGGACCCCACCCTGCACCCCAGAGAGGACCCCAGCCCTTGACTTAGACCCAGAGAGGACCCCACACTGCACACCAGAGACCCAGAGAAGACCCCAGCCCTAGACTTAGACCCAAAGAGGACCCCAGCCCTGCACCTGGGGAGAGCCAGAGAGGACCCCACCCTGCACCCTAGAGAGACCGTGAGAGGACTCTACCCCTGGACTTAGAGGGACCCAGAGAGGACCCCACCCTGAACCCAGAGATACCCTGAGAGGACGCCAGCCCTGGGCTTAGATCCAGAGAGGACCCCACCCTGCACCTCAGCCCTTCACTAATTTAGACAAATCAAAAAGTGTAGTAATTTTGTAGTCTAATGAAAGTAGAACAGAGCAAGCAAAAACAGTGACCAGAATTAGGAAAAGGGGGGAGGGTCACGGACTTGGCCATTTTGGCTGTGTGACTCCATGTCTTTGTTGGAATGCTGTTTATTTTTCTAAAACTGGGAACTGGCACTAGCCATTATTATTCATCGAGCTGGCCACTGGCCATCCATCCCCATTTTCTTGGTGAGCAGAAAGGCATAATTCAAACCTTCAGGTTGCTGTACTTCAGGTTTACTTAGGTGAGAAGTCATCACACAAAGGTTATTCTCTCCTTCCGTTTATTAATTTTAGGGATTAAGATAGAAGGGTGTTTGTTTACGATGACTTGCTATCCCCATAATTGCTGCCAGTAATTTTCCATGTTGCTGTATTTATAATGGTAAGGTAGGGTTCTCATCTTAGGCTGTGAGGGTTCTATTGCAAATATGTTCCATCATTTACTGTGACTTTATCTTTAGGTTGATGTGTTTTGAGTAGGGCATGCAAGCACCAGGTGTAAGCGTAAAATAGAATTTATTAGGGATCCTCATGTAGGAAGGAGAATTAACCAGTCCTTGAGCTCTATCCCACAGGGGTGGGGGGAGGAGGTTGCTGTGGTTGGGCATGTCTGATGTAGCCTTAACAAGCTCCCAGGTGACCCTAGCGCCTCTGCTGTGGTTCTTACTTTGAGTTAAAAGCTCTCTTGAATGAGTAACAAGAGGACTCTGAGGTGGTGTCACTTGGAAGAATATTCCTACAGAAAAGAAGTCTGGAGAATTCAGCTGTGGGGATCAGCCTGTTCTCTTGAACAGAATCTGAGCCAGAATCTATCATACTATAAAAAACAGAGAAAGTGAGCTTCCTGGGGCCATTTGGATTTCACTTTCCTCAGCTAACTTCATTAGCAATTGATAAATAACATTTATATTATTTTGATAGTATCCTCAGCAGAGAAAATTAATTTTTCAGATCATTGTAACTTATTTTGTGTCAGAAAGTGTCAGTTTCTACTAGTGGTATAGGAAGATCTCACAGTTCTTGGGTGTTAATACCTAATTAAATATTATAGGAAAAGATGTATTCACAAGTTAACTTCTAGTATGATTGTGTTTTACACCAGGCTTGCAAAACAAATGCTGTTTGAACAGTTTGATCTGCCATGGAAAAACGTGAGGCATTTGTACAAGCTGTGTCTAAGGAGCTGGTTGGAGACTTTCTGCAATTTCTTCAACTTGATGTAAGTTCTTTGTTTTGGCTTTCTGTGTGTGTGAGTGTGTGTGTGTTTAAACAGGACTGGGGTTTGAACTCAGGGCCTTGCACTTGCTAGGCAGGCACCCTACCACTTGAGCCACTCCCCAGCCTCTGTCTTTACTGTAGCTTTTCTGTTGATATAAAATATGCTTTTATATGTCTAAGTGAAATATAGTAATCTCAGAAAGTCCTTAGGAGCCAATGTTTATTTAAAAAGACAAGAAAACTCTTTAGACACAAATTGGCCTGTGTATAGGCTGAACTAAGATGTGGAAGATAAACAGAAGTTGAACAGTCAAAGAATCCACCTGTATAATGGAAGGCAGATCCTCAAGGACTGGAGATGGCAGGTTGTGTTTGAACCTAAAGAGGTTTGGCAGGGCCAGAGTGTGGTGTAAAGGGAGGAAGGAAGGGAAGAGAAGAGACCTCCGTCATTTTAGGGAGCTCAGACTTGAGGGCAGTATGGTCTGTCCACAAAGAGGGACCTGCATTCAGGGAGAGGTGAACCAAAGAGCTTAGAGAAAACTAGAGCAAAAGAGAGGTGAAAACAGAAGTAAGGCTTGCCTTTGGGAAACCTCTCTGGCTCCTTGTGAAGAGCAGGATGAGGGACCAAGCAAGGCAGCTAAAGACTAGCCAGCCTGTGCTTGTCGTGGGTGCTGAAGTGGGGTGCAAGCAAGAAGCTCTAGCTTCTTCTCTTGGAGGGGAGGGCCAAGGAAAATTCCAGGTTAAAGGGCTTCCTTTAACCTTTGGGAGGTACTGGGTGATCACCAATTTAGGGTGTGGCCACCAGGAAGGTGAAAGGACATGTCTTCAGGTCAGGGAGGAGATCTGGGCTGGAGATGGGAAAGGTGTCAGCTGCAGGTGGGAGCTGCAGTGGCAGAGTGCATGGCACCATTTGTGGCACAGGGGCAGCAGATGGGCCTCAGATGGAGTTCTGCAATGATGCTAAGGCTCTCAGGACTTTGGGGCAGGAGACCCTGAGCCCACCTGCCTCACTGTTCTGATTATGTGGTGAAAATCAAATTAGAGAAGAGCCTAAAAATGGATTTGTTGCTAGCAACGTTTATGACACTATTTTTCTTTAAGACAAATAGGCTTATAACTTGACCTTATATTACACAATGATATCCTACCAAATATAAGAGAGAAGTTTTTACAAGAGTAAAATATAATTTATAATTACGTGTCTGCTTTAGCAGTAGAAGTGTGTGTGGTTTATGTTACACGTGTAGTGCATACATATTTAAAGTCTGAAAGGCTTTAGTATTAACTAAAATCTCAATGAACTGATCTCATTAGTATTAATTAGTGCATTAGTATTAATTTAAAGTTACAAGGCAAACGTAGCAGCTCAAGAGCACACCAATGACCTTCTGGTGACATGTCTTTCTCCTTTACTTCTGCTGCCCTTGTTGCTGTGGAGCCTGTGTGATGTTGCTTGGTAGCCAGCAGACATTCTGGAGACTACTGAATTAGTTCTCATACTAATAAGGCATTAATTTTAGTTTATTGTTAGCAAGTTTTTCTAACATTTAATAACTTAGTGCCCAGACACCATGAAGCCCATGGTTAAAAATAAAAATGGATGTATTACTATTGTACATTGCTTGCTTTTATTAGGTTGAATAATATGAAATGCCATTTGTGTAAAATAATGACAATTTCACATAGTTCAACTTAGTAAGAATAAAGAAAAGACAAGTCATCTTGAGACCTGTTAGGTGAACCTCTCCAGATACAATGTGTTGTATATTTTGACTAATAATCCCTACATTCTGCACAAATAGTGATAAAACCCCAGAGAGAATGGTGGTGTGGTAGCTCACACTTGTAATCTTAGCTCTCCGAAGGCTGAGGCAGGAGGATCATGAGGTTGAGGCTAGCCTACTGTACATAGCAAGACTGTCTAACAAACAGACAAAACAAACAGAGAGGTTATGGAGAAAATGAGGCAAGGGGTACAATACTAAAATATTTTCCCAGTGACTTGTTAAAGAAAGATACGAAGCTAATAAAACATAGCAGTTTTGCATATGCTAAGCTACTAGGAAACAAATGCCATAGTAAGCATGACACTTTAGCTGGAGAAAGATTAGAAGTTTGCATGTAGAAAGGGAACCATGCTTGCACAGAGTACCTGCAAAAACAAGAAAGAAAGCAGAGAAGAAAATGACAAACTAGGCTGAGGGAAGCCCAGAGCATTAATGTACTGGGTGTGGCCTAGGGTGGGTGTTACAGAATGTGGTCAGAGAGTAGGGTGCATGGAGTATATGGTTCAGGTGTGGACAGCCTGAGCAGGTGTCTGAGGCATTGCATTCTGTGTAACTGGTGGCTCTGCTGAGTGGGGTTCCGTTTTCTACATTTACCTAGTATTTCTTGTCTGAAATCCCACATAAGCAAACCAGAAATTTGCCTGTTGCCCCGGTTGTTCCCTCGCGTATTGAAAGCATTTGAACAAATTGTATTTCCAAACAAGCAGTTCAGAGCAGAACCAACTGTACCATGTGTCCTTCTTGGGGAGTCAGGATGGGAGGATGAGGCACTGAGGAGGATCCAGCCCCTCAAAATTGTTAGGTGTTTTCTGGGGCTAGGTATTGTGCTGAGGTGGAGTTGATATTCCAGTGGCAGGAAGACAAACAGAACACCAAGCATGTAGATAATGAAGCAGGGAAGGTCAGAGTCCTAGGGTAGCTAGAGAAAAGTGGTGTTTGGCCAGAGAATCTGCAGGGACCCCTAGAAATTTGGGGAAGGAGTGGACTGGCCAGCACCCTAAGGCAGGGAAGGAGGGTAGTGTAGGGTGAGGGTGGAGAAGTAGCCAGGCCAGGTCCTGTAGGGCCTTGCAGGCCTTGTAAGGGCTACATTCTTTGGAGTGCCATGAGATTGGGGGTAAGCTAAGAGGCAGGTGTGACGAATGTCAGAGCATCAGGCCCCACCTGTTGGGGATAAGAAGCAGCTACCAGGTGGTGTTTGGTGGAGCTGTGAGGCTGTGTCTGATTTCATAAGATGCAGAGGCCATAAGTAAGCAGGTAGGTGTTGGCTGCCTGGAAAGGGATGGCTGTGGGGCAAGGTCTAGAACACACCACCCCTGGACAGGCTGACCCTCCCCTATTGGAGCAAGAGCAAGGAAGATCCCCAGTGGCAGGATGTTGAGGGAATCTTGTTTGGGACCTCCTGTTCTCTCCCTTCTCTTTGCAAAGTTAAGAAGAATACAGAGCAAACTCAGATTTACCGAAATTACCACTTGCCAGGTCTTTTCCTCTTTGTATTTATATATCATTTACATATAGGTGTTGTGCCTCTTTGTCCCCAAATAGTGCACTGCGTATTTTTCTAAAACAAAGATAATTTCTTTTAATCTCTTTTATAACCACATTAAGGTTTGGGGTTTAGCAGTATCTGCAGTACATATTTATGTTTTCACAGTTGTTCCAATAATGTCCCTTCCAGCACTCCTTTTTTCTGTTCCAGGGTCCAGTACAGTGTAACACATTGCCTGCACCGACATGTCTCATTGGTACTCTTTAATCCAGGACAGCCTCCGCCTTCCTGTACTTTTCACAGTACTGAATTTTGAGAGTACAGGTGGCTCTGTAGACCCTTCCTTTTGCATCTGATGATCCAGTTAGATCTGGTGTCTGCTCTTGGGCAGGAGCTGCATTAGTATTGGGGCCTTTCAACAGTGCTGTCAGAAGGGGCGCATGTGTTGGTCCAGTATTGGTTACTGGGTGTTTCTTTTTTTTTTTTTTTGGGCTGGTTGATGGTAGTTTGTTTATTTATTTATTTATTTATTTATTTTTCATTTTTCTTTTATTATTCATATGTGCATACAAGGCTTGGTTCATTTCTCCCCCCTGCCCCCACCACTCCTGCTTCCCCTTGGTAGTCACAGACAATCTGTGAAGAATTCTGCTGCCACTATAAATGTCCTGCTCCTAGCAAACGTTGGCTTATTGTGGCATCCAGTGCTACTTCTTGCCAGGTTATGATGAACTCTGTGAAACCTATAAAATCAGGTTTTTTGAACTACAAATGTCTTCCGTATTTATTTATTGGCACTCTACAGCATGCTGGTGCTATTAATGATTTGTCACTATTCTCTTATCAGTTTAGTCTCTGGTTCTTCTTTTGATCTGTAGGTTATAATTCATTATGGTCACCATGTTTGTTTTGCAGGAAGTCCTTTTAATTGGATTCTGTACCCTTATGACAAATGTCAACAAGTAAAAGTGGTCACCTGCCCAGAGTGAGAGGAAGTGGGTCCAGAGGATATCTGGGGAGATGTGAACAGGCCCGGCTGCTAAGGGGACTGCTCTCTAGGGAGGAGTAGAAGGTGATGCTGTTGGTCCATGGGGAGCCAGTCTCCTTGGCTCTGTTACTATTGTTTCTTTTACTGTCTAACACTAGCATACTTCTGTAACCGAACTATAGGTGGTGGACGTTTGAATTGGTTTTAGGGAGGGTCTTGCTAAGAGACCTTGAAATGTTGAACTGGAAATGTTGAACTTGTTAATCTTGAAATGTTAAACTCTAAAGATTAGGATACTGAGGAAGAACAGATGGAGGAGGAGTTTGCTCTATTTGGTAATCCCTGTATTTTTTTTTTAGGAGTGGATTTTGAAAACTCCAGCCAAACTCTTGAACTTGTAACTGGGTTAACACTTGAGCTTTTCTTTTGATTCCATTGTGAAAAGTTTATAACTAATTTTTTTGTATTTATATGTTTTTGTATTTATTTTACAGAAAGATACTTCTGACCCTTTCAGCCTAAGTGAGTTACTGGATGAATTATCAAGGAAACAGAAGGAAGAATTATGGCAAAGGCTAAAGAATTTATTAACAGAAACACTGTTAGAAAGCCCAGTGGATGGGTGGCAGACAGTGCAAGTCCAGGGTGAAGATGATATGGAATCAGAGCATGGTCCAAAAATGGTATTTATCTTCCAGAGATAAAAATTTCCCCTTTTTTGTGTTAAAAAGTAATTATTTGTTGTGAGTAATTGTATTTTAAGTTAAGAAAAAGTTGGCAGACAGAAACCAAGAATTTTGGGTGTCAGGTCTGTTTGTTGTAGTTTCACCTGCTTCTAGACCATTACAAATCCAGAGCTTAGTGTCACTGTTCTTTCAGGACATTGACTATATTCAATTTTAATTGACATTTTTAGAGTAAGTGGCTACATTTTAGCAATTTAGTAACTTATAAGTTTCTTTTAAAAATTGAGTTTTAAGTTGGTGATTTTAACTCATGTTTTGGTTTTTCACTTATAGAAAAATAGCATAGAAATAATTCATGCGATTACATCTGTGATTCTTGCTTCGGTTTCTGTAATAAGCGAAAGTGCGAATTATGAAGCTCTCCTGGAATGTGCTGTTATATTAAATGGTAAGTCCTTCCTTTTAAGTGGCATGTTTAGCAGTGGGATGTTGAAGTGACAAAGCTGCCTGTTTTCATGAGCAGTGTTGACTTTAGAAGCACAAGTTTAAAAGCATGGTTTCTACTCAGGCTCTTGCTTCATCTGGAAAAGGTGTGCTGGGTCACAGCGTCCTGAGTGATTTGTTGATGCAGGCTGTGTTTCAGTGTTTAAGAGAGTGGAAATGTGAAGTTCCGAGCTGCTCTTTAGGACACAGTGATCAAGAGCTTCTCGTTGTAAATTTCGTAGCTGTGTTATTCCCAAGCAGTGCCATTTGTGACACCTGACTTCTTTTTTCTTTAAATACATTATAAATGTGGTCTGAGGAGTAATTGTTGACTCCCATGGTGGTGCTTGTTAGGTTTTAACTGAATTGTAAAGCTGTTACTAGTTCAGGAGGTGTGCTAGTCTGAATTAATGCATATTTACAAAAGCTGTTGAGTGATATAAAAGCAGTTGTATTTTAAGAAACACCTCTAGTACATTCATCCCTCACTAGGTGAGCACACTTTTCTGGGGCAGGTTCTATTGTCAAGCTTCACATGCTTAGCTTCGCTTGATTTTGTGTATCTCTTTAGAATGTCATTTTTGTCTGCATTCTTATTGAAAAGTCACCCTAATTAATATAAAAACACTTCCTAAATGCTTTGTGAATTTTACCGCCCGTTTATTTGCACAGTTTCTAAATAAATGTCCGGGAAAATGATTGGTGCTAGCATTGTAGTTGCTACCAAACTCTCAGTGAATTTAAGAATTTTGCAGTTTTGTAATGACATTCAGATATCCATGGATAATTGTAAACACAATGTTAGTATTATCAGTTTAGTTATTGAGCTTTTCTGTTTATAAAAACAAATCATTATGGTAGCTGCTTTTTCTGTTTTTCACCTCTGAGCCAAAATTCGAGGCCAGCAAATGGAGGGAGATCGTAGTGGATTCGAGGTCAGTAGACGTGCCTGGCTCTGTTGCTGTCAGGGTTACTGGGAAATTGGGATGTGGCAGTATGATTTTGGTGAGGCTTCCAGGTCCAAAGCTCTGCTCCTTTGGGTCTTTTTTTAACAGTAGTAAATCAGTCTTTTTAAACATTTGCATTCTGTAAGTAATGTGTATAAATCTTTGGCCAATGAAACATGAACAAAGCTTTGTAGTATACAAAGTCAAAATACTCTACTATTGAATGTGAACTGATAAGAATCTGCTAATAACTGAAAACTTGCTGTGCTGTTATAGGTATTTTGTATGCATTACCTGAATCTGAACGAAAGCTCCAGAGCTCCATTCAGGACCTGTGTGTCAGATGGTGGGAGAAGGGCCTGCCTGCCAAGGAGGACATGGGGAAGACTGCTTTTATCATGCTGCTGAGGAGGAGTCTGGAGACTAAAACAGTGTGTTTGCTCCTTAGTACATATTTTACTTAAAAGGATTGTTCTGCAGGGGCTGATTCAGGAGAACTTCCTACAGCTGTTAAGATGCACAGAGGTCAAGAGTGGGTGTGGAAGCTTCATACTGAGGTTGAAAGTCAGGCTTCCTCCTTCATCTCCTGCTGTCCTCTCTCCTTACTGCATGGTGGTGAGATGGCTGCTCCACCTCCATATTCTTGTGCCAGTTCAGGCAGGAAGAGAAAGTTGGGGAACAGGAATGGCCAGACTTTCTCAGATACTACACTGTGTCCATGGGTTCCTCTGCTGGAAAAGCAAAGAAGGCCTAAGCTACAGAGACAGGCAACTTGGTGTGTGTGGGGGTGGTGGGAGAGAAAGGGGGGTTGTGGCCCTGTGGTCTTCCAAGAGAGACTGGGCAGATAGACTGGCAAGAGTCTCAGACCAAGGTGGTGTCATGATTCTGGATTGTTGCTGGGATTATTTCACATTGCAGTGTAGTCCTAAGGAAGTTGTGGCTGGGTCAAGGGAGAGAGAACAGTTTTGAAGGTCAGATGTAACTTGGACTGCATGCTTGGTCCTGCTTTAGTCTTTGGTAGAAAGCTAGAAACAGAACAGCTGATCAAGGCAGTAATACTTTTGTTCACCTTAGTTGGTCAAATAAAAATCATCCATAATTCTAGCACCCAAAATGACCATTATTAATTTAGGACACTGGGATCTTAGTTTTTGACCCTTCTCTCCAATACCTACCTCAAATCATACTGAATATGAACTTGAAGGCTCTTGATGCATATTACTGTGACTTTCTAGAAGGCTTGTACCTGTTGAGGGGTTTCCTCCCCCTCCCCCGCCACATGCTGAGGGTCTGTTTAACTAGACCCTCTTAAAGAGGAATCAGGATGAAGGCAAAAAGCCTTTTGGCTGTACAGTGACCCACTCTGATTTTCCCTCTTGGCCAAAGGAGTGACTGAGGAACCCTTTTTAGTGTCAGAATTTATTTTCTTGTTTCATTGTTTTATCTTTTTAAAATTCACTTTCCTTGCCAATATTGTATAATTTTTAAATCAAGTCTTTTTAAGATACCTTTCTAGTACTCTAAACCTGTGCTGTTCAATACAGTAGTCACTAGCCATATGAGACTGTTTGCATTTAATGAAATGTGGAAAAAATGAAGAATTTGGTCCTTAGCTACACTGGCCATACATTGGTAACTCAGTAGCAGCTGAAGCTGGTGGACACCTGGACACCTCCTTGTCATTGGGGAGGTTGAGGTGAACAGGTCTAGGTGTCTGATTGCTTTTAGCTATGTTAAGTTCTTTTGTGCTGCAAGTAGCATTTACAAATTAAAAAATCTGTTTTCACTTGTCACTGTTGCCTCCTTTGTGATGATTCATTTATAATTACTATTTGTGATGCAAATTAAGTGCTAAAATTAAGTGTGACCTTATTATTCATTATAAAACAAACCCCAAAAACCTAAATGCAACATTCTTTCCCATGTTATTCCCAGGGTGCAGATGTTTGTCGGCTCTGGCGCATTCATCAGGCTTTGTACTGCTTTGATCATGATTTGGAGGAAAGTAGAGAAATCAAAGAGATGCTGCTTGAGTGCTTCATAAATGTTAATTATATCAAGAAAGAAGAGGTAAAGAGGTTTGTCTTTGTGGTGTATTTGTGAGCTACTTCACATAGATGTCCCCAGGCTAATGTGGCTATTGTCTGTACCACGCTTTGCATTTCATGAAGAGCTGTGTGTGCTTATTGTGTGTCATCTGGACTGCAAGCAGTGTCAGCACACGCTTCACAAATTCTCGCTTCCTGTGTTTCATCATTAGATCGAATGGTAGCAGGTGGGCTCTTAAGTCCCAGAGGAATCATAATCGCATTTTTAATTAACAGATTAGTCAGGGGTAGTGACTCACTCCTTAATCCTAGCTGTCTGGGAGGCTGAGATAAGGAGGATTGCAGTTTGAGGCCAGCCCAGGCCAAAAGTTCATGTGACCCCCATGTCAGTAGAAAACACTGGGTGTGGTCGTGCACATCTGTAACCCCAGCTACACAAAAATGTAAGTTGGAGGATCATAGTTCAGGGTGGTCCAGGCTGGCCCAGACAAGTGACACCCTGTTTCAAAAATAACCAAAGCAAAAGGCTAGAGGCAGGGTTCAAGAGTTAAAGTGCCTGGCTAGCTAGTGCAAGGCCTTGATTTCAAACTCCAGTACTGCCAGAAGATAAGCATGAAAAATAAGAGTGATTAAAAATAAGTTGGAACAACTGCTTTCCTATAGAGGACATCTGGCCCTCTGCCCTAATTCTACTATTTTTTGGTATTGATGATGGAACCCAAGCTCTTGCTCATGCTAGGCAAGTGCTCTACCAGTGGGCTGGGACCCTAGCCCACTAATCACAGTTTATTGGCATATACTCAGAACTGTCACCACAATGCTCTCCATTTCTTTTTCCCACCCATCCAGTAAATCCAAAGAGGGGTGTCTGGCCTCAACTGGGGCCACTCCCAATGCGTGGCTGCTGAGCAGGTGGAATGTGGCCAGTTGAATTCAGATGTGCCTTAAATGTAAAATACACATGGATTTGACAACTTTGTAGGAAAAAAGAATGTAAAGTGTCTCAAAAATTTTTTATATTTCTTACATACTTGATAAATGGTAATATTTTGGAAATAATTGCTTTGTACAAAATATGTCACTAAAATCAATCTCTTATTAATGTGGTTTCTAGAGAATTAAAAATTCCAGAGTGGCTTGCATAGTCCTGTAGTGTTTGTTGAGCATGGACTGTACCCTTGCCAAATGTGGGGTGCCTCTGCTGCAGCCTGTTTGGGTTGCTCAGCACCTGACTGGCTTGTCGCTAAAATTACCCTCCTGAGCAGAGTTCCCCTCTGCTTCCGTGGACTAGTAATTTTGAGTTTTGAGTTCTGGAGTAAAGGAAATGCCTCTTTGGGATCTTGGCCTGTCAGTGATGCAGTGTCCAGGCCTCAGCAGGGCTCTGCAGGGCAGTGTGTGGTGAGCATCAACAAGGTTTTGGGCTTCTGGTAGGAAGGTCTGCTCCCTGCCTGCTGTTTGCTGGTGGGCAAGACGGTGGCCAATGGCTGAGCCTCAGTGTTCCTTCATAGCCAGGACAGCAGTTGTTCTTTCACAGACCCCAAAGAGGAGCAGCAGCAAGGCAGTGTGAAGCACCGCCAACACAGTCGCTGCTGTGAGAAGTGCTGCTCTGCTTAGGTCTTCTGTTACTGTTGTCACCATCACTGGAAAGACACCAGACTCAAGGCCTGCCATCTCCAACATCTCCAGGACTGTTAGGGGATTTGGGAGAATAAAGAAGTTAAAATGTAGTCAGACAACTTGCTTATTTATAGTGACATACATAAGCAGTCAAAGAATTGCACTTGTTTACCTATATACACGTGACGTGCTGGATATGCATGGAGTATGTGCGGTATATGTGCTCCTTTGAATTTTCAGTCACTAAGTTGGTCAGGTCGCGTTCAGGCATTTGGCATAAACACTTGGTGCTCTACCAGCAAGTTACTTCCAGTGAATACAGTTGTTGCAAACAGGATCCCCTCATTTGCATCAGAGTGCTCTGTACAGCCAGGCAGGCTGCAGTAGGGTACTGTTGTTGGGGAAATTCTTGGGCTGTGTATCTGATGCACTCCACAAAGTGTCAATATTCTTTCTTTGTTTTGGCAGTACTGGAATTTGAACTCAGGGCTTTGTGCTTGCTAGATAAGCTCTCTACCACTTGAGCCACATCCCAGCCCACTTTAGATTCATGTGTATAATCTGGAGGCATGCACATAAATTAATGTTATATTTATGACTTGAAGTCTCTATGTATTTGGAGATTCTACTTGGCAAACAGCCTGTTAAGTATAGCATCTCAGTTTTTACTTATAAAAGGTGAAGTACTGACTAGCAGTTTCCTTGCCTGCAGTGCTAGATTTTAGATCATGTAGCTGTCCAGGACAGAGCCAGATGACATGTGTATGGACCCACGGCCAATGTCTGCATGGCTGTCTCTCTGAGTTTTTCAAGGTCAGAGATGCTCACTGCAGCTGCTTAGCCCGAGGGAGGGAGGAGGCTTTGGTGGCTCCTGATGTCTGTCAGCAGGAGCTGCTGCAGGCCGTGATTTTCTACTCACCTGTGCATGTGTGCCAAGCTATCATTATATGAAGTTCTTTTTTAGGAATAGGCAGCTTTAACAATAGAAAACACCTGAAGATTTGTTTGTAATTGGGAACTTTTTATTTAGTTGTAATTTTAGTTTTTTTTTTTTTCAGTGGGACCAGGGTTTGAACTCAGAACTCTGCACTCACAAAGCAGGCATTCTACCTTGCGAGCCACACCTCCAGTCCCTTTGGCTCTGGCTATTTTGGAGATGGGGTCTTGTGAACTATTTGCTTGGGCTAAAATTGCAATCTTCCTGCCTTGGCCTCCTGAGTAGCTGTGATTATAGGTGTATGCCACCACACCCAGTTTTTAGTTGCAGCTTTAACGTTACGTCCTAATTTTTTTGTTTATAGGGAAGAAGATTTCTTAGTTTTCTCTTCAACTGGAATGTAAACTTTATTAAAATGATCCATGGGACCATCAAAAACCAGTTACAAGGATTACAAAAGTAAGTATTAAAGGTGATTGAAACTGTATGCCTTCTCAATTTGATCTGAAATACTCTACTTGACTTGTAAAAGTTGCATTGATATATCATGAGCTTTAGAAGTAGTATTATTTTATACCACTGTACCTCTTGGTAGTTTTTCTTCCTTCCTATGGGCAATCATTCTTTGAGTAGTGACAATTGGAAATAAAATTTTACCTTGTGAGAGTTCTCCTTTTATCCTTTTTTTTTCCTTTTGGTGGTACTGGGGTTTGAACCCAGGGCTTTGTGCTTGTTAGGCAGGTACTCTACTGCTTGAGCTAAGCCTGTAGCCCTTTTTGCTCTGGTTATTTTAGAAATGGGGCCTCATTTTTGCCCATGTTGGCCTGGACTGCCATTCTCCTATTTTATGTTTCCTGCTGTACTGGGAAGTCCAGTGCATACCACCATACCCAGCTTTTACTATTTAAGATGGGGGTCTCATGAACTTTTTTCCCTGGACTGGCTTCAAATCATGATTCTCTCGATACCAGCCTGCCAAGTAGTTAGGGTAACAGGTGTGAACCACCAGCACCCACCTTCTTTTTGTTTTATCTGTATTTTTTTTTTGGTGGTACTAGGATTTGAACTCAGGGCCTCATGTTTGCTAAGCAGGCCCTCTACCACTTGAGCCACTCCACCAGCCCTTGTTTTTGAAATGTTCTGTTGTCCTGGCTGTGCCAATCTCGTGGACTCACGTGATCCTGCCTCATCCTCCCGAGTAGCTGGGACCTCAGGCAGTGATGGGGCTAAAGTTAAATCAGGGGCTGTTCGCTCTCAGCCTCACTTACAACAACGCCTGAGTCACTAAGTACTTCTGATGCCTTTCAAATGTAAAGTTCACCTTCTGTTTGAGTGTGGGCTGAACTGTGTGGCTGTTGTGAAGAGCCCTGTGCTTTAAGAATGCAGAGGAGCCAGTGGAGCGCCCCGGTCCTATGCTGTTCCTCTTCTGTAGCAGTAGTCACAGCTGATGAGTGAACTCTGCCTTTGCTCGGGCTGGTGCTGGCGCTGTGTGCTTTTCAGGTCAGTCCTCACAGCTGTCCTTTGAAGTGCACTTTCTTACTAAAGTTCTGAGTTCGGATTTGGTTCGGACCTCTGATGGCAAAACTCTTGTGTGTTCTAGACTGCCTTCTCATATTTCCTCATTTGTAGAATATCTGGGTGGAGCTGATAGATTTCTAAACTTCTGTGATTCTGAAGCCAACCCTAATACTGCAGGGGCTCCTGTGTGTGGGGAATTAATAGCTTGTGAAGTCCAAAATGACTGCAAGTAAAAATTTCTATTTAGAATTAGAATTTGGTTCTGGGCTTAGGCTTTGGGGGAGGCCTTTTCCTGAGGAGGAGAAGAGGGTCCACCTCCTGCTTCCTTTCCACTTTGTCCTCCCTGCTTTCTGCTCAGGCAAGCAACACCTCCAGAGATGAACTGGAACGGTACATGCTGGAGGTATAGTTCTTTAAGTTTGCATTAAACCCATCTTTTTTTTTTAAATAGATCTTTGATGACATACATTGCGGAAATTTATTTCAGAGCTTGGAAAAAGGCTTCAGGGAAAATATTGGAGGTATTTTCATTTTATTAAACATCTGTTGTATTCTGGTTACTAAAATACTCACGGGAGGATTGTTTAAAACTTGTGTCCCTGCTCTCTGTGAAAGTAAAACCAACTGGTGAGGCTCCTCGTGATAGAAATGTGTCTATTTCCATGCTGAAGCCATCCTCATGGTCACATCACTCAACCTGGTGCCTGTGAGTTTCTTATTTTCAGAATTCAGAGACATTTTGAATGTAGTTAGCCTTAGCAGCTGTCCTGCTTATAAGGATATGCTGTGTAATTCATCGTCCACATTATCATTCAGAGACCCTTTTGGACAAAACTCCAGTGTGTCTGCTACCCCTTTATGGTTTCTCGTTCTAGGTACTCAAAGTGGGAGTAAAACTTCTCCCCTGCGTCCTGGCCCTCCTCTTTGGAGTGCTGATGGTGACTGGTGGAGGCTGCCTCAGGGCAAGCCAGAGTTACCAATGTATGCAGCTTGCTTCTGCCTGTCCTGCTCTCCTGTCCATTGTCAGGGCTCACAAATGCTGACTTCCACTTCCAGAAGACAACTATGTTCCCCTGTGGACAACTTTCAAACTCATTTTAGAATGTGTAATTTTGGGGGCAAAAGGGTAAAAGCAGAACATTATTATGCATTATTTTACTTTATTTTCCCCTCTCTCTTTGACATAGGGTCTTGCCATGTAGTCTAGGCTGATCTTAAACTTGGATTTTCCCATCTCAGTCTCCTGAGTGATGGGATTGCAGGCATGCACTACCAGGCTTGGTTTGTGTTGTGTTTTACTACTACATAAAACTTGTTTTCGTGAGGACTGGGATTTGGCTCTGTGATAGAGTACTTGCCAAGCATGTGTGAGTCCCTGGGTTCTTTGACCAGCATTGCAAAAAGAAATTCTTGTTCTTAGGAAGCAGTATTTGTCCTTAGCATATTTTCCTGTCCTTTTCTGCCAATAGTGTTTAAAAAATTGGGATATAATTACCAGGTCCAAAACCTTGTGCTGGCTAGACATGCCCTCCCCACCCGATCCTCACTTCCAGCCCTTCTTTTGCTTTAGTTTTCAGAAAGGGTCTCACATTTTTTACTGGGGCTGGCCTCAGACCACTCCTGCCTGTACCTCCTGAGTGGCTGGGATTGCAGGTACATGCCCTCCTGCCCAGCTTACTTACCGAGACGGTATCTCAATAACTTTTTTGCCAGGCTGGTCCCAAACCACAATCCTGATCCTCATCTCCTGAGTAGCTGGGAGTATAGACATGAACAACTGGGTCTGGATCCTTTTACAGTTGCAAAGCAAACTCCTGACATGACATTTTATTTCTATGTGATTCAGTGTCAGTCTCTAAAAAATGTGGTTCTTCAATGTCATTATAGCACCTAGAACAGTAACAATAAGTCTCTGGTGTTTTTAAGAATAATCAGTCCACATTTAAATTTTTGTTCGTCTCTAAATGTCTCTTAAATGTTTTAAGCATTGCCCACCTAGCGTTTGCCTGTAAAGTCACTTATTCCAGACTGTTTCTCTCTTGTTCTCTTTAGTAAGTCCCCACTGATGAGCTGGGGAATCAGGTCAGGTGCCTATAGAGTAAAGTGTTCACAGTCTGGTACTTAGCTGTAATTTGCCTGTATGGCACAGGTAACTTCCCAGGTAGTCATTGTGGGGTAGGTGATGTGCCGTTCCACATTCCATGATACTGAGACCTGTGTGACTTCAGGCAAAGGAACTGTTTGCACAGATACCGAGACGAGACCTTGCTGTCAGCCTCCTTGTGTCCTTTCCTAAAGCCAGGGAGTCCTGGGCTCACGGGATGGGCATGGATAACACACCATTCTATCGCTGGGGTTGGCACTGCTCTTGCAGGCCTGGCCTTCCCTCTGTTGTTCCACCCTGAGGGCCATCAGCACCTGGGCTGCTGAGGAGTTTCTCACAGCCTTCCCTGCCCAGCCCTTCTCAGTAGCAGCCCTGAAAGGTCTTTTTTTCCAGTCAGTTTGGAGTCCTGGCCTCTACTGTAGAGGTAGTTCCATTGCCGTTCGGGAGGCTCTTGGAACAGGTCCAGGCTTAGGAAGGTCATCCAGATCAGGGTAACTCGGGAGGGTCTCCCAGGCCTGTGTGTGCTTTCCCCTCCCTCAGCCTCTAAACTTGGTGTGATGTGAGCTTGCCGTGCTGTGCGGTGCAGACTCCACATAAGATAAGACAGAAGCAGCTCTATGCTGTTCCTGGCATATGAAAACTAAAGGAGCTGTGAGAAGCATAGGCTGAATGTCAGAAAGCACTGATGGAAGGGTTCAGTTTTTTTCTGAGCTCAAGGCAGACAGAGCAGGCTGCCCAGGTGCCCCCGCTTGTTATGCCTCCTGTGCACCTGCGCACGCCAAGTGCTTGGCACTGTGTTTCTGTTTCAGACCATCGAAAACGACTGCATCCAGGACTTCATGTTCCATGGCATCCACCTTCCCAGGAGGTCTCCAGTACACTCCAAAGTACGGGAGGTGAGTGAGGCGCCTGTGAACCATCCACCATAAACAAAGTGGTGTTGATAACGTCTCATCCCTTTTGCTTTGGTTACATTAAGATTAAGCTATGCTTCCATACCATCAGTCAGAATTTCGATGTTTGGTGTCCAGCAGCTTTGCTCCTGCCACCTGTTGTAACGAGGAAGGAAATGTTCTTAGGATCTCTGGAACCATGCTTTAGCCTCTTTTGCGTTTTTTTGGAGATGGGAGTCTCACTATGTAGTCCAGAGTGACGTGTTGGTGTTGAGCTCATGATCCTCCTCCTTCTGCCTTCAGAGTTCTGGGATTACAGCCATGCACCACAGTACCTTGCAACTATTCACTTAAAGAGTAAATCTTATGGCATGCGAAGTCTATGTGTAGAAAACTGTTTGAAGTGAGTACGTCACTGTAAACAGAATGTGGTGATGTTACACCTACACTCATGCAAAACAACTACACACTAATGGTACTTGCCACTGCCAAACTCTTAAAGAATGAACAATCAGAAAAAAAGCATCCCTATGCTGTTTATTCTAAGCCCTCTTAGAAAGTAGGCTGATTTTTAATGGTTCTGTTTTCCATTTTTCCTAAATAATTTTTTGCCCCTAGAGGGGTGAATTCCAAAAGTAAGGCAAAGTTGATCATTGCTGGGGTCAAGAGTCTGCACAGAGCGTGAAAAGATTCTGGCTGGGAAAGAAAGGAATGGACACCACGAGAACAATCTGTTTTCTAATTCCTTAAGTTTTGGGAAGAACTTGAGACCTAAATTAAGCTTGTGCTGTGAACGGTCACTGAGTAGTGGCAGCTGTTAATTATGCAGTTCTAAAATGAAGAGCTGTTGCCTGTTCCTAGTAGAGAGAGCCATTGTGTCCTAGTAGATGGCAGAGAGCCATGGCCTGTCGCTAGTGGACACTTGTTGGTAGTGGACTGCACAGCGCTGATGCCCATTGCTGGTGGATAGTGGGTTAAGGAGCATTTTGAGCCAGGAAAGATCACATAGGTAAACTCCTTCACATATTCCCCTTTTCCGTTTTACCCTGAAGGTCAGGAGTAAACAATTTTAGTGAGGTAGTGTGGCTGTTGATACACCATTAGAAATTATTTGTTTTTATTGACTGTTGTTGTCACTATGTTGAGACTGGCCTTGAATTCCTCGTCTCAGATGATCCTCCTGCCTCACTCTCCTGAGTAGCTGTGACTACATGTATATTCCACCATGTCTGGCTTGGGTAGTAGAAATCAGAACCCAAAGTGTATTATAGTTCAGGGCAATTGGTGTTTATTCCAGCTGTGATTGTTTTCATGATTTATCTTGTCAGGGCTGTCCCTTGATAGATTCTCCTGATAGGGAATGTCAGACCATGGCGAGGGAGCGAGCAGTCTCTCTCCCTGTTGGTCTTTTCAGGTGTTTTATTACTATTTTTGCTATGTAGCCCAGACTGGACACCAGTTGTGATCCTCCTGCCTCAACCTACTGAGGGCCGGGATTACAGGTGCTTATCACCACACCCAGCTCAAGTGCTGTTGAAAAACAACACTGACTGCCTTTCTTTCCTTCCTTTTTCTTTGGCTTTTAGGTGCTGAGTTTCTTTCACCATCAAAAAGTCCGTCAGGGAGTGGAAGAGATGCTGTACAGATTGTATAAACCCATCCTCTGGAGGGGATTAAAGGTATGCCTCTTGCAGTATGTCCTTGTTCAGGATGGACCAATTATGCTTTGAATGGAGCATATGCTAATTCAAAGGTGTACCGAGGCAGTAAATACAAGACTGGAGACAGTTCTTTGTGGAATTTTGGAACAAATTTTTTTTGTTTTTGTGGTACTGGTGCTTGAACTCAAGGATTCATGCTTGCACAGTGGGTACTCTACTGCTTGAGCCACACCTCCATCCATTTTGCCCTGGGTACCTTGGAGATGGTGTCTTGAAAACTGTTTTCCTGGGCTGGCCTCCAATCATGGTCCTCCAGATCTCAGCCTCCCGAGTAGCTGGGATTAGAGGCTAATCCTAGCCTCTAATTTATTTATTTTTTTTTTGAGATGGGGTCTTGCTGTGTTGCTCAGGTTGGCCTCAAACTCTTGAACTCAAGTGATCTCTCTTCCTCCGCTGGAACCATGGGTATACAGCACTGAGCCTGACCCACAATTTTTTCTTTTATTAAGAGTATTTCTTATGTACACTACTGCAAAGGTGGATTAGTTCAGTGCAGAGAGCACAGAATTGTGAAGTACTGTTTGGGAAGGAGACTGGGATATGCATGGCAGTGAGGCTGGTGGCTGTAGAGTGCTCCTGCTGCCTACTGCATGCCCTCGTGCTGCTGACCAGGGCAGGAGGTGGAGATGCTCTTTGTGAGCCTTCTAGCACGGGTCTTTTCCACACAGACAGACTGAGGTGAGGAGGCTGATCTTTTCATACCTGTTGACCTTGAGTTGAGAGTTTGGCTTAAGTTGAGGATGGACTCACAAGTTTGATCCATTTATTTATTTTCTGGTGTTGGGGGTAGAACCCATGGCCTTGCAAATGTTGAGCATGTGCTATATACCATTGAGGTACACCTGCAGCCCAGTTTGGCCAATTTAAACACTAAAATTGTCTTTCATCTGCAAATGAGTCTGTATTGAGACAGTAGAAGCATTGACTTGGGCGTATCGACTTAAGCCTTGGATTCTAAGACTACTCTTATTTTTATAGGCCAGAAACTCTGAAGTTCGATCAAATGCTGCGCTGTTGTTCGTTGAAGCATTTCCTGTTAGAGATCCAAGCTTCCACGCCATGGAAATGGACAGTGAAATTCAGAAGCAGTTTGAAGAGCTGTATGTACGTGTCTCGTGAGGCGGTGCATTTCTAAGTGCAGGGTCCACATCTCCTGCCAGGGCCCCTTAGAGAAATGGTAGTGTCCCTTTCTCTTGTTGGTCACTTTTGGAGCATTCTGTTATTTGTCACCTTGTGTAGTTTTCATTGTCACTCATGTTCAGTCATTGGAGGTGTGGCATCACAGCTGCAGACCTGCAGGTGTGATTTCAAGCAAGCCAACCTTTTGACTTCCTCTGTCAGCTGGAACTGCTATTGCCAGCCATAAGGCCGTCAGGTGATATGAATGAGTGAACACCGCTTGTGTTTCAAGACAAGCCTGCAGATAATGCTTATGGCCTCGACTTTTCAGATGAGGCCTTGGGACAAAGTGCAGCCCTTGTGCCTGGGGGCTATGGATGTTCACAGGCTAGAGGGTGTATGCCTCTGCTTGCTCTCTGAAGTTCTCAGGGTTCCTCATGCTAGGTGATCAGTTTCCTGTTGTCCTACTTAGTAGCACAATGATAGCTGGAATGCTATGATGTTGTTACCAGTGCTGCTGAAACACTCCTTTGTTTTCTGATTTATGAGCAACTTCAGACAGGTGGAAAGTTGAGCTGATGGTGTAACAACTGTCTTACTCGTACCTCTTCATATACCCCTGAAGTGAACAGCTGGTTTGCTGTGTGCCTTATCCACATGTATAGTCATTACAATTACTTTTTATTTAAAAAATTTTTTTTCTGGTGCCACTGTGAACTGAAGGCCTCACACTAGTGCTTTTCCTTTTGAGCCACACCACAGCCCTTTTTTGCTTTAGTTATTTTTCAGATTGGGTCTCATGTTTTTGTTCAGGGTCAGCCTGGAACTTATCCTCCTACCTATGTCTCCCTATAGCTGAGATTACACTTGTGGTCCACCACCCTAGCTTATTAGTTGATGGGGTCTTGCAAACTTTTTGTCTGGGTTGACCTTGAACTGTGATCCTCCTGATCTCCACTTGCTAAGCATCTAGGATTACAGGTGTGAACCACATGCAGATTGTGATTGGAATTTTGTTAGGGATTGTGTGGAACATGTAGATTGTTTATGATAGTACAGCCATTTTTACAATGTTGATTCTGCTGGTCCACGAGCATAGGAGGGCTTTCCATCTTCTGATGTCGTCTTCGATTTCTCTCTTCAGTGGTTTATAGTTTTCATTAAAGAGGTCTTTGGTTTCTTTCATTAAATTTAATCCAAGTTACTTTATTGTTCTTGAGGCTATTGTAAATGGGATTGTCTCCCTGATTTCTTTCTCAGTCTGTGTGTTGTTAATATATAGAAAGGCTACTGATTACTGTAAGTTAATTTTGTGTCCTGCTACTTTGCCGAAAGAGTTTATGATTTCTCGTATTTTTCTAGTAGTTTTTGGGGTGCCTTAAGTATAGGAAAAAAACCCTGTGAGAACTTGTGAATCCCCAGGGCAGGTTTTCAGAATCCTAAAGTTGTTAATTGTTCTTTTCATTTTTTCATCTTTTTTTTTTCCTTGCTGTTTGCTTTTTCTGAAGTGACTGACCAACGTTTCTTTTCCATCCTTACTTTTGGATAAAGAACTTGGCTGATAAGGTAGTTAGCATGTGTTTTCGTCCTGTGTAGTTATGTTGTCAGTGGGCATCTTCTGTGGAGGGTAAGGTGGTCCTAGGCTTGGCAGGGTGGGGCTGCTTTGGGCTCTCTGGGCAGAGCAGGCAGGGGGTGGTCCCAAACACAATCAGGGAGGCCTACCACCAGGACTTTCCTCCCTTCTGCTCCCTTTGTTATGGTTTGGAGTTGCACTTTCTCTTTTGTGCCCCTCTCTGTGCCCAGTGTCTGCCCCAGAACTTCCCATGGCAGACTCTGCACTGCCCTGTTCTTTTTATCTTGACTCCGTCTCTGGGCACCACCACTTATCTCACAGAATGTCCAGGTCATGCTGTCTGTCCTCTTTTCTCCTTATGTACTGTCCCTCAGTCCTTTTCTCCCAGTCATCACCACAGACTTTATTATCTTGTTTGTCATTTGGTCAGGTTTTGGGGAAGAGATGGGTAAGTGCTTAATGCATCTATTTATTTATCTTTTGGTGGTACTGGCATTTGAACTCAGGACTTCATGCTTGCAAGGCAGATGCTCTGCCACTTGAGCCACTCCACCAGCCCTGTTTTGCATTGGGTATTTTTGAGATAGGGTCCTGGGAACTATTTGTCTGGGGCTGGCTTTGAACTGAGAGCCTCCCGATCTCTGCCTCCCAAGTTGCTAGGATTACGGGTGTGAACCACCAGTGCCAGATTGCTTAATTCATCTTGAAGTCTGTTTTTTTCTAATAGAAAAAGAATGAAGTAGGAATTATTTTATACTTTCCAAATAGGAAATTTCATGCATGATAAGAAAAACAGAATAATATAATGGATCTTTTGTACACATGGCAGGTTCAGTCATTACCAATCAAGCCGAGTCTGATTTCTTCTTCCCTCATTTTATTTTTTGACACTTGTGATCCTTCTGCCTCCACCTTCTGCTGTCAGGAGAGTTCCTTCTCCAGCATCCTTTCTCCCTTTTCTTTTTTAAGTTGCTGTTTTTGATGTTCTTGGAGGAGAAAAGTAATCCTGATTTTCTCACCACCTGGGTTTTAGAGAACCCATTCCCACTCAGCCTCTGACATACTGCTCTGCCCTTTGCATTTCTTGTAAGTTGGTAGTTACGTGTAGTGACTTGATGTGTTGGTTGGGCTTTTCCATTGTGTGAGATTATGCCCTGCCGACATCCTTTACTTGTATCCTGTATATATTCATGATGCATTGCTGTCTCTTTTTTAATTGTTGGCAACCACTGACGGAAGTGGTCTGGATCAAGGCACTCCAGCAGAATTGGTTTATGCCGGTTAGTGTTTTGGATTTCAAGGTGTCTGCATAGGTGGTCTGGGCACCAACTGCCTCTGCCCCTGACTAGGTCTCAGACAGTGTTGGGCAGCACAGCTGCTGCCCCAGCCCTGCTGTCCAGGGCCTGTGGGCAGAGGTGGCAAACAGCAGCACATTTCTGGATGGTCATTCTTAAGTATGCTACACCAGTGTTGATAGAAACACCAGGGAGTCAGCGTCCACACAGTTGGCCTCCTTATCTTGTGTTTGTACTGGACACTTGCAGACTTTCTAGTTGTCCTCGTTTCCTGAACGATAGCAGTAAACAGCAACCATTCACATAGTGCTTACACTGTCTTAGTAAGTGAACACTTACATCATAAGTGTTCCTGAGATGGTTTTTAAAGAATGGCAGAAGACCTGTATAAGTAATATGCTTCTCCATTTTATGCAGGGACTTGAGCATCCTCAGAATTTGGTATTCTGGGTGGTCAGCCCTGGAATCAATCCTCCTTGGAAACCCAGGGACAATGACTGTATGACCAATATTTCTAAAACTTAAGTATTAAGTTGTGAATTCCAGAGTGCAAACATGTAAAATTAATACTGATATAAAGGAAACTGATTGAAGGTTTTAAACCCTTTCTCCCCCTCCAGAGCCTTTTAGAAGATCCTTATCCACTGGTCCGTTCCACAGGCGTCCTTGGTGTTTGTAAAATAACTTGCAAATACTGGGAAATGATGCCGCCAGCCATCCTCATTGACCTCCTGAAGAAAGTTACCGGGGAGCTGGCCTTTGACACAAGTTCAGCTGACGTTCGCTGTTCTGTCTTTAAGGTAAGTTTTTTAAAGGTATATGAGCAATAGTTCTTTATTGTAGAACTACGGAGTTTGTAGAAAATGCAGAGAAGGAAAAAAATTAAGTTATTCATTATTCTACTCTATAAAGGTAGTATTACTTAAAGTTTGGTTGTATTTCCAAAGTAAGGATTTTCAAAAGTAAATTAGCAGATGTAGCTCACTGGCATTCCTAGCTCTTGGGAGGTAAGACAGAAGGACTGTGAATTAGAGGCAATGGATATCTACAACCCCTTTTTTAGAAGGATTGTACTTTGCTCTACACAGAACCTTGTACTTGGATATGTTTGGGTGATTTGTGTGGCTTTCACCAGTACCAGTAGTAGCTCACATTTTATTTCCTAAGCCACCTGAACCAAGCAGTCCTGCAGTCTAGAAAGTGTCACATGGATATTAGATGGTGGTGTGGTGTTCATCCACTTCTTTTCTCTGCCGACTATGGTGATTAGATGACCAGCAGGTGGGCCAGGGGCTACCTAGGTCACAATGCAGGTGCTCTCAGGAGTTGGGATTGGGGTGCATACATTGAGCTAGGTGATCTCATGTCCCCCTACTGGAGTTGAGCACCTGTAAACTCTGGTTTGTGAGCACAGACCAATGTCTTCCCTGGCTTACATGGAAGCAGACTCTAGAGATGGTCTCTGGCCTTGCACGTGGGTGGCTGCTCCTTTCTAATCTGCTTCCTCTTCCTCTTTGTGTCCTTGCTGTGGGAGCTCATGTCAAGTGTAGCTATAGACAAGGAGGTCTTCCCTTGGCTTTGGCCCCAAGGGCAACCCCTCCTGTCTCCCTCTCCCTACCTTTCGGAGAGCCCCTGGGATTTGCTGCGCTCCTGGCTGCTGCTGTCTGCAGTTGTTGGTGCAGAGCCCTCAAGCACCTGTCTGTTTCGTCACCTGAGGAAACCACTGTAAGGCTCTTCCAGTCCCATATCCAGTAAAGCATTTCTAGCCAAGCTCAGTTTCTTAGGACCCTTTCACTGTGGGGTTTGTTTTTTGACGTCAGCCAAATTCTACCCCAGACCATTCTGGATTGCCATTCTAGACATTGTTATAAGCTCTCAGCCCCCTCTTTCTTTTCCTTTCCCCACAATTCCTGGAGATGTTTCCAGCATGACTCTGATTTGAGTCTGTGTCCTTGAGATGAGGCGTTTATGCAGAATGTGGATCAGAAAATGCTCCTGGGGTGTAGCTCTGGAAAGGAAGGGAAAGAAGGAGAGGTTGTCCCCTGACTGCTGCAGGCAGAGCCCTTTGTACTGCAGCTGCGTTGCTCAGGGATGGGACTTGTTTCTTGCTGGACCCCTCAGTGGTCCACCTCAATGGACACCTCAGTGGTGTGTCCTTCAGGGGTCTTCCTCAAGTGTGCTGCCTCAGGATTGAGGTTGGGCATCTCATTCCTGTGGGATCTTGGCCAACACAACGGCAGCCTTTTCCAAACCTGCCTAGGACACTTACCTATTTATTCTCTCCCCATTACTCTGTCTTGTCTCTTTGAAATGGCAGCGCCTCTGCTAAAATGCCTACCTGCTTGCTGCTGTTCTTGTTTTTTTGGCTGTACTGGGGTTTGAACTTAGGGCCTCAGGCTTGCTGAGCAGGTGCTCTACCACTTGGCCACACCTGCAGCCCTTTTTTGCTTTAGTTATTTTTCCGATAAAGTCTCGCACATTTCACCTAGGGTTGGCCTTGGACAATAATCTTCCTATGAATGCTTCCCACAGAGCTTGGCTTACGGGAGGATGCTACTATATCTGGTTTGTTGGTAGCAGATCAGGACTGGCCTTGAACTGTGATCTTCTATCTCCACTTCCCTGTAGCTGGGCTGCTTGCCGTTCTGTCTTCCTCCTCCACTCCCTGGTGCAGTCTTCTCCACCCTGTTCTTCTGACTGCACTCTGGTGATTTCTTGCCTCTAAGCAAGTCCCAGCAAGCTCACATGGAAATCCTCAGCAAGATGGGTCCCTGTGCAGACAGATGGGTGGGCTCTGGGTGCAGGGACAGTCAGCACATGGAGCCATAGGGAGGTACTGCAATCCATGCAAATGTGGGAGCTGGGGCGGAGGTGTCAGTCAAGTCAGACCACTCTTGGCTAGTGCTTTAGAAACATGCCACATTACGTATGGCGCACTAAGAGTTTTAGTGTACTGTATGGTTTTAGTAGGAGCTTTAAAAAGTCCTTTCTCCTAACATCTGGATAAAGAGCAGAAGAACTTGGGGTGCGGGAGCTTGGGTCCTATGTTGGCACCTGCTCTGACCACAGCAGGGTGTGCATGAGTTACAAAATGGGCATTCATTTGGGGAAGTCAGAGTTCAGGGACAGTTAGAGGATAAGTGAAGGGGTTCTTAAACCCACCTTAGACATGGCAGTGTTGGGAAACTGCTCTCTGGCATGCTCCAGTCTTTTTGGTCAGTGCTCTCCAGGGTTTGGCTAAGGAAGCTTTGAAGTGAGCCTTTGCTGTAAAACTTTAGAAAAATGTTTTCCGTAAATGTGTTTATTTCACAAATGGACCTAGGAAAGGTGGGCTGAACATCAGCATGAGATTTCTTACTGGAACTTCTTACTGGCACATTCCGATTTTGAACTGTTCTTTCTCCTTTGTTGTAGTGTCTGCCGATTATTTTGGATAACAAATTGAGCCACCCGTTGTTAGAACAGCTTTTGCTCGCACTCAGATACAGTCTCCATGACAATTCGGAGAAAGTGAGAGTGGCATTTGTGGACCTGCTGCTGAAAGTCAAAGCTGTGAGAGCTGCAAAGGTAGGTGCCGAGGACTGCTCTCACACAGACATGGGGTGGATAGGGGCATCCCCTTTCGTTCCACAGAAAGAGCCTTGGTGGCCCATCTTCATCCATCCCTTGCTGCCTATTGTAGCACTGTATTTCTTTTGTGCTTTTCATTGAAGGCTCTCGAAAGTCATGAAGATAAACAGTTTTCATTGTGTGTAAAAGTGTGTCTTGGACTACCTGATGTAATGTGTAAGTACTTGTCACCTGGTACGCATCATAGAACTTGGACACATTGGCTAGGAGCCCTCCTCCTTCCACAAGGAATAAATGTACCAAACCGTTGGTGTGACCATCCTCTCCAGCTCCCATTCTGCTCAGTTTCTTGCCAAGAATGTGGTTCTAATGTTTCTGACTTTATTGTTCCTTGGTAATACCGTGAGCTCTCTCCTTCCATGTAGTGGTTCTCACATTCACTTTAAAGTACCGTTTGCTTGTGTGTAGGATTTAGAAGACGCCCTATCTGTCCTTCAGTGTAATGTGTGTGGTTCACACAAGAAATGATACTCCAGGATCTTGAAAACGAGGACAGAGCAGGGGGCATGGTTTGATGGGAGAGCACTCATCAAGCATGAGCATGTGCTGGCTTCTGTCCGCAGCACTGCTAACAACAGTAGGTGCTTTTTGTGGTCATTTGTGGAAGTAACTCCAGCTACGTAAACAAGAAAGCAAAGTGTAGAGGTGTCTGAGGTGTGCATCCAGCTGTACGAGATGGGAAACCCCAGTGAAACATTGCTCACAGCTGCCTGAGGTGTGCAGCTGCCGTCCAGGGATCCTCTGTCACTGCAGAGGACATGGGTCAAAAAAAAGAAATAAGGACACCTGAGTGATCTGCATATAGGAATCTTGGTGTCATGCCTGATTGAGTTACTTGTGGAGCTGTGGTCAAATATGTGCTTGAATGGCTATGTGCAATTCTAGACTCTTGTTCCATTGAGCCATTTGCCTGACTGTGTGTAAGCCCTGGCTTTGTCTTTCTTTTTTTAGTACTGGGGGTTGAACTCACAGCCTTATGCTTGCTAGGCATGCTTTCTACCAATTGAGTCTTACCTCCCACCCCTTTTTTGCTTTAGTTATTTTTTAGGTAGGGTCCCACATTTATGCTCTGACTGGTCTTAGAATGCGATCATCCTACCTATGCTTCATGTGTAGCTGGGATTACAGGTGTGAACCACTGCACCTGGCTAGTTTTGTTGAGATGGAGCCTCACTTTTTTGCCTAGACTGTACTCCAACCATGATCCTGCTGATCTCTTCCTCCTGAATAGTGGGATTACAGATGTGAGCCACCACACCCTGCTACTTTTAGTATTAAGTCTTTAATGATTATATTTTAGGTTCCTTACATTTCACTGTGAGTTATAGAACCAGTATGTTAAGTTCAACAAAAAAACTGCCTTCACTTTTGATTGCCTTTGTTTTAACAGCCTGCTGAAACTTTAGGTTTGATGTTGTTTGAAGTGTAGATCTGTTGGCAAAGAATTGCTGAGGTAATGGCTGGTAAGGAGCTGGAGATGGCATTCATTCTACTTTATTAATGTGATCTGCCCGGGAGAACTGGGGAGGTATAGAAGAAGCAGAGTGCTTGTGACCAACAAGGGCCTACATGTCAGCAGAGAAAGGAACCATCAGGTTTGTCTGGTCCTGAGTCTTGTAAAGGCTTGCTGTGGCACACGAACCATGGTGGAGTGAGTGCAGGAGGTGGCCTTCAATAGGGTTTTGTCACCAGGGAGGAAGGACATGCTGCATCAGCAATGCACACATTGGCCCATTGGGTTTTCTGTATCTAGTTTTAGAAGGAATGAGAGTCAGGGTATGGTAGACCATGCCACCAGTCCAGCCTCAGTGGCAGGGGAGGCCCCTCTACTTGGACTCAGGTGGTCAGCATGCCAATGAGCCTCCACTCTGTGCCCCTTATGTGGCAGAGGCAGCACTGCAGAGAAGGTGCAGCCTCAAGGCTTTGTTCAACCACTCTGAGCCTCAGCTTCCTGTTTGAAAAGTGGGCTATGCACTTGCCATAAATGGTGGCCTGAGCTTCTTGCTGGCTGTGTTCAGAAATGTCCCTCAGTCTGCTAGTGTTCCTCCAGGTGGGGTCGGGGCCTCATTTACCAAAACTCTGGTTCACGCTATTGAGAGTCATTTAGAGCGGTGTACCACAGCTGCTTGCAGTGATGGGATGAGGCCTCCTTGTCTCTCCAGCACCAGGCGTGGGTAAGTGTACCCGCCAAGTGGACTGGTTATTAAAGTGACAGGAGTGTCTGACACAGCAGAAATTTTGTCTGCTTGACTTTGCAATGCAAGGTCATTATGACCTTGACAAAAACAACTCGGAGAGGTAGAAACCATGTGGCTAGAGAGCTGGAGGCAGGAGTACCCACCACACTCAGGAGCAGGTTGGTCCATAAGGGTTAGGAGGAGCCCAGAGACAGAATTCAAGGAGAGCTGGAGAGTGGGCTTGTAGTAAGGGTGAGAATGACATGAAAATACTTCAATGCTGATGAGAAGATTGGGAGGATTGCAATTCAAGATCAGCCTTGGCAAAAAGTTAGACTACATCTAAATAAACAAGCCGGACATGGTGGGCACATCCATAATCCAAGCTATTAGGGAGGCACATAGGTAGGAGAATTTTGGTTCGAGAACAGCCTTGAACAAAAATCCAGAGACCCTATCTGCGAAAAAGGGCTGGAGGCCTGTGTGACTCAAGTGGTATAGTGCCTGCCTAGCAAGTGAGAGACCCTGAGTTCAAATCTCAGTACTGTCAAGACAAAAAAGAAAGGAACACCGAAAAGACAGGTTGGCCCTCAGAGCAACACTCTTGTAAAAAAGCCTATCAAAGGTGTGGCCTGTGCACAAGTAAGCAGGCTGTCTTGGGACCAGCCTGGGGCTGGGTTTGAGTATTCTGCAGTAAAATCTGTTTTCTTTCTATTTTTCTGTAATATTCTCGCCCTGTCCTGAAACTCCTGCTCAGAAGAATGTTTTCTGTGGGCAATGCTGAAGGAGAGAAAGACTGCAGAGACCAGGCTGGGGAGTGTGTATTAGCAGGAGCCTGGCACCGGACAGGAAGCCTGTTCACTGTAGAAGGGGTGGGGTGGCTGTCTGTCACCCATCTTTTTAACTCACTTCTCACCGTGATGAACCAAAGCTATGGTGTTTTAAGACATGTAAAAATGGTTAGACTGGCCATCACAGCTGCCATTGGAGGGTTTGCTGTGTGTTGGTCTTGCTGGTGAGCATTGCTTGCTTTCTCAGCACCCTCATGCACCTTTGGTGCTTTGTGTGCCGACTCGTGGTTCTGGGCTTGAACTCAGCCTCACACTTGCTAGGCAGGGCCTCACTCTATTGCTGGAACCACTCCATCAGCCCTTTTTGATGTTGGATATTTTCAAGAAAGGGTCTCGTGAACCATTTGCCAGGGCTGGCTGAGAACCGTGATACTTCTGATCTCTGCCCTCTGAGTAGCTGGGATTATAGCTGTGAGCCACCAGTGCCTGGTGCAGGTACTTCTTAAAATATAGATTTATTAATTCTCTTCACAGAAAAGTCAGATTCCTGTAAAGTCATTTTTTTTTATTGTTTTATTATTCATATGTGCATACAAGGCTTGGGTCATTCTGTAAAAACATTTGAAATCAGTTTTTTAAACATACAAATTAGTTCCCCTTTGGTTATGTTCTAGAAATTTAAGTGTGTTTTGGGATTAATCAGGAACAGTCGATCGTTTCCTTTTTTTTTTTTTTTCAGTTTTGGAAAATATGTCCAATGGAGGACATTCTGGCCCGACTGGAGATGGATTCTCGCCCTGTGTCTCGGCGCCTGGTGAGCCTCATCTTCAATTCTTTCCTGCCTGTGAACCAGCCGGAGGAGGTGTGGTGTGAACGCTGCGTGGCGCTGATCCAGATGAATCATGCGGCCGCCAGGAGGTTCTACCAGTATGCACACGAGCACACCGCCTGCACCAACATAGGTCTGGAGCCCGCCACCTCGGCCCTGCTGTCCTCAAATAGGCCTTGTGCTTTCCCTTAAAATAGTACTTCTTAATGTTTGGGATTACAGTCTCCCTATTAGAAAGTTGTAAGAAAAGTGACTTAATTGTCTGTTGTCTTGAACATTTTAGCAAAGCTGATCCACGTCATTCGTCACTGCCTAAATGCCTGCGTCCAGAAGGCCCTTCGAGAGCGCCAGGAGTCTCAGGAGGAGCGGGAGAAGGAGAATGAGAGTGTGAGTGGCCCCCACCTCACACTGGAAATAGGCAGTGCCTTATGTTGATGGTGTGGTTTCCGTGGCCTCATGTGTTAGGTTGCTTTTTGCTGTCAATCCTGAGCCCAGCAGGATGTAGTACAGAAAAAAATGTTGTTGGTGCCACCTTGTCCCAGTCTGCTTTGACCAGGGCTTCTCTGAGTAGTTGATTCTTCTGGGTGCAGCACAGTGGGGCTGGATTCTGGATGTTCTGCACTTCACAGTTAGGATATGGTGTTGCTCAGAGCGACTGAAACATCTTGAGGCTGAACTGGGCACAAGTTTTGTGTAGTATTATCTTTATAAAGTGATTTATCAGGGGAGCTCTTCAACTCCTCTTTCTTCAGAATGCAAAGTGTCCTTTGTTTTGTCTTTGACACAGGGTCTCACTGTACAGCCCAGACTGGTCTCAAACTCACACTCCTCCTGCCTCAGTCTCTTGAGTACTGGAATTATAGGCATGTGCTATCATGCCCTGCTTAAAGTTTCCAGCTCTAACAGAAGAAAGCTATTTAAGGCTTAGACACACTTAATACTTACAAGTACTGTCTTCAGCTTATACATAGCCTTTTAACCGTGGGTATCTAAAGTAAAATTTAGGGGTTGTTTTGCAGTATCCAAGTAGACTAGGAAACTGACCTGTGGAAGAAGATCACAAACAGTTGTCCTTTGCTGAAACACAGTGCAATGTGCTCAGGTTCTGCCTCTTCCCTGGCGTAACTTCTCTGCCAGTGTCACAGTTGTCCTAGCCTGTTCCTCCATTGCACCCCTATGGGTCACTAGCCCTGCTCCTGCATAGATGTTTCTCTTTTGTTTCTGTTCCCAGTCAGTTAGATTGGGCTGAAAGTGATCAGAGGAACTTTGCTGGAAAACTACAGGGAAACAGGCATGCAGGAGAGGGAGAAGGGCATCTAGAGGCCAGTGTGATTTCATGCTCGCTGCACTGGGAAGCCCTCTTGAGTGTGTTCACAGATGGCTGGCTGTGGAATTCAAGCCCCTCCCTTCTCAGGTTGCCCACAGGGTGTAGATATGGTGTGCAGAGCTGTTCAGGGACATGGCCTTGCGGGGGGTCTCAGCTGGTGACATCACTGCACTCTCCAGGTGTACTGCAGAACCCTAGCGTGGACGAGCAGCCTCTTGTGAGGCACTTGCACCCTTGCACTGGGAAGAGAATGTGTGTTTTGTAGCGTAGTACTTAAGAGGCTTTTACATATTGAAAGACTCCTCCACTCCATTACTAATAGCTATATGTTTTTATGAAAACATCTTTTTTAGGTCAAGTTCTGCAACCCTGAAAAAGAAAGGGCTTAGAAATAGGCAGTTCCATTGTGGAGAAGGGAGTTTCATGGTGAGCATCCCCGTATGTGGTCATGGTGCACTGCCAGCATAATCAGAAAAAATAAACAGGGCTATTTGTTTTAGAACAGAGAGGCAAGCTCCTGCTCTGGTGGTTGCTGACCTTAGTCTGTCACTGACTAGTCCAGCTGTACGCTGTATTCCACTGGCCATAGGATGGAGGTAGCTGGCAGCACTTCTTTATTGCACCTGTGCTCAGTGATTGCCTTCTTGGCAGTGTTGTTCTTCCTTTTACTTTTGGTTTGCAGTGAAGGTGATGTCCTCTGATTTTAGAAGCTTTAATTCATATGAGCTGTTTAGAGGATGTAGAGTTAATTTAGAGTTTATTTCTTGAGTGGGATTTGCAAACAAATTTACCTTCCTAATAAAGTCATGATATGCAAGTAGACTCTGCACCCTTCTATTTCTGTTTTAGGTCCTTGATTCTGAGAAGTGGTTTTGAAGACTGCTGTGGCAGTGCTTGTTACTAGGCTCACAACACCATGTCTGTGTCATAGGTCCTGGACAAAACACTCTCAGTGAGTGACAGTGCGTCCATGGCAGGCTTGCTGGAGACCATTGTGATTCTCTGGAAGAGTATCCACAGGAGTCTGGAGAGTAACAAGGAGGCCAAGGTATACACCATCAACAAGTTCGCCTCTGTGCTTCCAGAGTACCTGAAGGTCTTCAAGGTGAGTTGTTTTCTCGCCTGCACAGCACCCAGAGGAATGTCTAGAGTGAGCACTCAACTTCTCTGCCACAGTGCCAGAGGTGCTGGTGTGGAGCTTATGTGACTCTCAGGTCTTGGGAACAGAAGATACAGCTGTACCCAGGCCTGCGGGAAGGCGTGCAGGAAGCTGACATCTGCAACCTGACTTGGGTCTGTGTCATAAGGCAGATAGAACCATGTGTGATTCCACTTTTCTTTAAACTTGTTTATTTTTAATTGACAGATAAAAAATTATATGTAATATGTTTAGCATGATGTTTTGAAATGTGTGACTTGAGGAATGGCTGAGTTGAGCTACTTAACACATGCATTCCCCACATCCTTACTGTTTTAGAAATCTGCTGTTGGGGTTTTGGAGAACACTGTAGAGTATGTGTTACTGGTGGTGGCCACCATATTGTTCAGTAGTTCTCTTGAACTCACAGCTCCTTACTGAAACTTGTCTCCTCTCACCAACACATCCCTGCCCCAACCTTTTTATTACCACCATTCTCCTCCATGTGATGCTTTCTGTTGGATGAAGGAAGCCTTTTCATTCCTTGACTATTTACTTTTAAAGAAAGTTCATATTTTAAAAACCAAATTTAAATAAAGACTACCGGATAAAAATGTGAATTTATTTCCAGCTATCCCAGCACAGCTTGTATTTCAAAAGATCATAAGTCTTTGTAACCAGACTTTATGAGCACCTCTATTACCCTTGGCTCTTCTGCTCAGTACATCTGTGACTTGGACTATGTCACATCTCTATGCTGGCAGATGAGCAGTGTGCAGTTTCCCTGGGACCCAGGAGGGCAGTTTTCTGCAGAAGGCTTCTCTATTCTGAGAACTCAGGGAGCCTTGTGCTAAAAGGTGATTTCTCCTGAACACAGTATCAGTCTATTTGCAACATTAGGAACATTTCTTTTTTTTTGGTGGGGTGGGGGGTGGGGTTCTGGGGCTTGAACTTAGGGCTGCACACTTGCTAGGCAGGTGCTCTACTGCTTGAGCCATGCCTCTAGTTCTTTGTGTTCTGGTTATTTTTGAGATGGAGTCTCACTTTTTGCTCGGAACAGCATGGACTACAATTGTCTTATTTCATGCTTTCTGCCATCGTTGCTGGGATATCAGACTTCCACCACCATGCCTAGCTTTTTCTGTTGAGATGGGGGTCTCACAAACTTTTTTAACCCTGGGTTGTCCTGGAGCTGCAATCTTCCTAACTTCAGCCTCCCAGTAGCTTAGAATGACAGACATATGCCACGAGCTGTTTTGGGGCATTCTTGATGGAGTCTGAACAATTAAAATCTGTTCAGTTTACTTTATTGCAATAATGTTAGTACTAACATAACTGGAGCTTATCGGCACTTAGTGCTTACTCGGTATCACCATACCCATTTTCCTGTGCAGTCCTGACCATTTTGAGGAGAGGAAGCTAAATTTGACTCAAGCCCCTTTCCAGTGTTTTACAACTGTTAAGTTGTGGATCTGATTGAATATAGGTTTGGCTTTATAGCTCCAAAGCTTGTGTGTTTCCTTTAAACTGTACTGTATTCCTGATGATATTCTGATTCCTTTTGTAGAATGTTCTTTGAGTGGTTTCTTCCTTTTGAAAGTTAGGTTCATGATACCAAGTGTGTAGTTAATTTCTTTCTTTCTTCAGTGCTTTAAGAGCACACCTGTCTCTAAAAAGACAGCATGGACTTTCATCTATTCTGGTCACTGCTGTCTGAGGAACTTAGAGCAGTGCCTGGCATACAGCAGGTACTTAGTAAATATTTGCACAGTGGCGAAAGTTGTGTAAAACTGTCAAGATACTGGACCCTGGACCCTGAAGTCTACCAGTGGGTTAGTTTTCTCTTCAAGCTTTGAAGGAACTGCTGGAGTGCAATCTGAGCATCTCTGGAAATAGGTTACCAGGAGCCACGTGGAGAGGTGGTGTCAAATACCCTGAGTTTGTTTTGTTTTCCTAGGATGAGCGCTGCAAGATCCCTTTGTTCATGCTAATGTCCTTCCTGCCAGCATCCGCTGTCCCTATGTTCAGGTATGCTTCAGTAAAGCAGGGGTATGGGCCACTGCTGTGCTATGATCCACTTCTCAGTCCTGTTCTTCCCTCTCTGTGCTCAGCACAATTTCTGTGGGCTCTGTAGTTGTCAAGTAACAAAGGAGAGAACAAGAGGAACTAAATTGTGACTTCATTCAAAAGTCTGGGGGGTTATTTTCACACCCAGTGTGATAACTCTGGAGCCCTCTGCCACCCCTGGTCACATGTAGCTCTGAGCACTTGGAACATGAAAGGAAGAACGTCATATACTAATTACATGTTAAAATGATATTTCGGATTGAGTTAAAGACGATGTGTTATGAAATTCCTTTCACCTATTTCCTTTACATTTTAATATGGGTGCTTAAAAATTTTAATTATATATGTAGTTCATATGTTTTTTTTTCTATTGTGGTGCTGGCACTCAAACTCAGGGCCTCACACATGCTAGGCATACATTTGATCACTTAGCTACTAATTCACATTTTTTTTATTGGACACTGTAGGTCTAGAGTTTTGCTTATTACTCAGGAAAATTTATTCTTTATTCATATTTATGAAAAAATGTTTACATGCTAAACAAAAATTAATCTCCAAAATTAGGAGCTCTTGCTCTAGAATCTGACAGCTGGTACAGAAACAAGGCAATCTTGGGGTGGGGCCTGTTGGTGACCATCAAGTGCTTACCAAACTGCTGTCTAGGGCTTCACGGTGGAATGAGTATCTTTTCACTGGAGAATGCCACTCTCAGTGTAACAACGAGACCTGGACTTACTACCTCTTGATTTGCGTTGCCTGTGGGAGAGGAAGATACTTACCTGGTTTTATGCACTTGACTATCTCAGCTGTGGTGTGATTTCCATCTTGAGGAACCAGGAGGAAGGTGCTGCAGGCAGGAGTTACTGTACCTTGTTGGATTGTCTTTGCTCCTGGGGACAGGTGGGGCATGTTCTGGAGCTCATTGACGACTGGCTACCTGAGGAACGAGGCTGGGCCAAGGTGTGTATGCATCTGGTGAATGAGGACAACCTGTATTGGAAAGTAACTTTCTCTTCTGGGAACATGAGCTCTAATTACTGTTTACCCCTCTGCTTTCCTTCAGAGTAACTTACCATCTAAACGTAAAGTGCAAATCCATGACACACGCCCAGTGAAACCTGAATTAGCATTAGTGTACATGGAATATTTGCTGACTCATCCAAAGAATCGAGAGTGCCTGCTCTCTGCGCCCCGGAAGAAACTTAACCATCTTCTGAAAGCACTTGAGCTGTCAAAGGTAACTTTGTATCCTGACAGTTGAGTGATTTTAATTGATAGCAACAGCAATACATCTCACGTTTATAGTGTTGTAACATTTTTTCCAGCTGGCAAGGAAGTGAGAATGTCATTCCACAGGGGTGCTGAGATGCAGGGCTGTTCTGTGACCTTTCTTCTCACAAGTAGTGTTCAGATCCTGTGTGTCTGTCAAGTCTGTTAGGGTGCTAGGACTCCAATGGATCACCCCTGCTTCTCAGAATCTACCCCCACATGAAGACTTGTTGCCCACAAGTCCTGCCCATCGGGAGGAAGTTCTGTCTCCCTTCAAAGTCTTTGGCAGTTTTTCCTAGGAATCTTGGAGAGTGTATGATGTGTCACGTGATGTCATTGTGTCACGTCTGCTGTCCAGTGTGGTGGAGACACGAGGTGGAGTCTGTGAAGGGGAACAGGTGCTCCTGTGCACAGTGGCTTGCTTGCCAGACTGTGTGCTAGAACCACTCTTCGCCAGAGCTGGGTCTTTCTGGCTTGCCTGTGGGCCAGCACTTGACATCTTGCATAAAAAGTTCTGTAATTCTACAGGCAGATCTGGAATCGCTTCTGCAGTCTTCAGGTGGGAAGTCCCCGAACTTCAGCCAGGCAGCCGCCCTGCGTGCCTTCAGTCTTCACTGTCGGCTGAGCATCCATGTCCAGCACAAGGTGTGGTGCAGCCCTGCGGTGCGAGCAGCAGGTGTCAGAGCTGCTCTTGTTACTGATTGTCCTTTTTGTTGTGTTGGACAGTTCTGTTCAGAAGGGAAAGTTCATCTGTCCATCTTGGAAGACACTGGGCTTTGGTTACAAAGCAAAGTTTTGCCTCTTCTTCGAGACCAAGAAGAAGAGCACCTGAAGTTGCGGAGGGACGCCTATCAGCAGATTATCCAGGTAAGTCAGCAGTCAGTTCTCCCCGCAGCATGCTGTGTGTGAGGCTGCATTTTCTGTTTTGAAGGTGATTTAGACCTTGCTCTTACTCTTTTGAAATACTTAGAGCAGCATTTAAATATCTAGAGTTTATCTTTTAACAATGATTAAGCAGCATTGTTTTCATGTAATTTTGCATGTCTCATGTGATAGGTGTTTGGTTAGGTTGGTAGAATTGCATAAAACGTTTTGGCCTGTGAGATGGCTCAAGTGGTAAAGCGCTTGCTTAGTGAACGTGTTCAGACTCCAGTACCAACAACAAAAAAAGCGTGCATTTTTCTATGGAAACAAAATTTTGTAAATCTGTTTGTGAGAAGCCCTGCCAGGTCTGACTGACTCCCTTTTTCATGGCTTTTGTTGGTGGACCTCTCTCTCTCTTACAGACCTACCTGACCGTGTGTAAAGACGTTGTCATGGTTGGCCTTGGAGATCCTAAGTTTCAGACACAACTGTTACGGCAGAGTCTTGGAGTCATGCAAGCAGGCACAGTATACCTCTCCCACTACAGCGTTCCTCTAGAATAGTCAATACTCAAAGCCAGTGCTTTCCTCCCTCCTTCACTTTTCAGAGCAGGACTGTGGCTTTCAAGGGACAGATATGCAGTGACTGTCTGGTGCTACCAGGGAGTCCAGACACCACTGTCCAGGTTCTGACAAGGTCCTTAGGATTCTGCTTTATTTCTGGGTGGATGTGTCCCAGCCTGGCATCTGTTCCTGCTGTGTGTGTGGGAGAGTTGGGGGTTGTAGGTAGCCATGCTCAGGACCATGAGTACTGGCGGTGAGTAGCAGAGGCATGGAGTGGTGGTGCTATGTCAGGGTGTCATTGGTGAGGGGTGTGAGCACAGCCCACTGGGCCCTCTGCAGCCGGGGTGTCGGAGCCCATGTCAGAAGACAGCAGACAACAGGAAAGGTGCGATGTGGCCAAGAGGGTGGTATCCCTGGGGCCAGAGGAAGCTCTCCCTTCTGCTCAGTCTTCTGCAGGGAGAGGGCCAGCCCTGAGCACAGGCCCAGCCCTACTGGTGGCTTCTGGGCATAGAGCGTTTCCAGCTGGCTTTCGCTGTATATCCGTTACTGGGATCTTTGGAATGTCAGCACTTAAGACTCATATTCCTTTAAGACAGAGCTATGCTAGGAGAGGTTATTTTGAGTACGTTAGACTGAGTAGGGTGCATTCAGATGGTACTTAATCCACCTGTTACTCTGTCCTCAGACCCTACTGGGTCTTGACTCCTCCTGGTGCTGCTGCAGCTGGGACACCAGTCAGCTTCCTCAGGTTAATCTTTGACTGCACACAGGTTATAGATCATTGGTTTAAAAGTTCTAAGTTAGGGACTAACATTAAGTAGAACCAATATTATTTGTTCCATAGTCTTCCCTTTTTCATCAAATTCTTTATTAGGAAACCTACACTTTATACTTAAGCCTCATGATTGATTTATTACTTAGGGATTATTTTCCCCAAGAACTGTATTTGTAAGATTTATGTTTCTGAGAAGTTGGTCAGCAGTTTAGATCTCCAATTATATCCATTCCATAGTGATATGTCTTTCCCTGCATAAGGTCCATAGACCCTATCTTGACCTGCAAGCAGATGGGAGTGAGCTTTGTATTTGCACATCCAGTAGCCAGTGTTTCGAGGATGGGATCACTATGGGTCATTCTCTAGCAGTTGTGATATGTTGGGTCACAGCTAGCAGCTTAGCCAGATAGACCTGGAGTCTACTGTTGGCTGGACAGTAGACTAGTAGGAGTCCTAGTAATTCTTTTAATTTAAGAAGTTAGCTACATTTACCTTAGCTAGTTATGTGTAGGTATGACATTCTTCATATCCAAGTGCACTAAAGACGGGCGTTCTTGGGGTACCACTGGGGTAGCCCAGTGCATAACCCAGATGTAAGGATCCAAGTTCACAAACATGCAGGTGTTTGCAATATAGCACAACATGTGTTTCAAAACCATCATGCAGTCTTAGTCTGCAAAATCAGGCATGGAAATAACAGGGCTGTGGGAAAGGAAAACTTTTCTTAGGAAAAAATACTGGCATAATTTTAAAAGAAGTAATGTTAAATTTCTAAAAAAAGTAAAGATTACAGTTAATGTAGGACTTTGTCTGAAATGGAAAGATGCAGATGATCTATGGAGAGGAATGTCAGGCAGGCCACGCTGCTTCATCACAGAGACCGAGGTTACTCCACACAGTGTGGGTCAGCATGGGAGGACGGCCCCATGGTTCCCACTCGAAGCTGGCTGTGCCTTGCTGTGTTGGCAGGCTGCTTGTTCATTTACAGACAGTTGGTGGCCTAAAAGTTTAACACATTGGGGAGAACCATGGGAGCCAGCACTCCTTGAGTTTCAGACTGACAGCCTCTCCTGCTTGCTGACGGCTGTGAGCTCACTCGGCCTGGAGAGGAGAACCCAGTAGTGACCTTCTGTGGCTGTCGATAGCAGTTTATATGTTTGTTCTAACCAGTTTCTGTTACATATTTGGCTTATGAAGCACACATTCTTTTTATTTTGTGTGGTACTAGGACTTGAACTCAGGCCTTCACCTTGAGCCACTCCACAAGCCACTCCAACCCTATTTTTGTGAAGGGTTTTTCGAGATAGGGTCTTGTGAACTATTTGCCCAGGCTGGCTTCGAACTGCGATCCTCCTGATCTCTGCCTCCCGAGTAGCTAGGAAAACAGGTGTGAGCCACCAGCGCCCAGCTGAAGCACACATTCTTGATGATGAGAGAACTTCCAGTTAAAATCTTTAGCTTTCTAGGTTTTTGTTAGGGTTACAGAGACTCCTCATCCTGAGGAAGGACATAGAGCAATCCCTCTGGTCTGTCAGGTCTTGGTCTGCAGCATGGGTATGGAGCTCAGCACCCCTCTTCACCTGCCCCACTGGCAGGGTTCTGTGACGAGCATGTGTGAGAAGTGTGTCCTCTTGCCCTCATTTGAATGAGAATAATTCCTTGAAAGTTTCTGTTATACTGTTAGAGAGTTTGCAGTTTTTATTGATTCTGACAGAGCCTGAGACTTCATGCAGGGGACAGCTGCAGAGGGGGGACAGCTGCAGAGGGAGGACAGCTAGGATGGGCATGTGTCTTACTTGCCGCAGCAGGAAGATTGGGGCTATAGCTGGTTCCTTGGTCTCAGGGCACATTTCAGGGTCTTTCACTGTGTTGTGCAGCTGAGGGACTCCTGGGATGACTTCTCATGGCCACCTATGTGACACTGTCTTTGTGAGGAGCACCGATTCTCTGCCTTACCACACACCTGTTTTATTTTAAGCCATCTTGCAGACCCTTCTGGGTCTGGCCAGAAGCTGTGTGCTGCACATAGGCTGAGGCATGAGCATGGGAGTGGACAGGAGGGCACAGAGTGCACAAAGCTTGCTCGGGGCAAGTGGTTAGTGCTGCTTTCATTGCTCTTACCAGCCAGGTTGGCTAGAAAGGAAAATGAGATTTCTATATCTCAAGGACAAAGAGTATGATGGGTTACATAGGGGGAGTACATTTTACCCAATAAATACGGTACAGTAAAGCAGATAATCTAGAAGAGGGAGAAAATAAGCTACTACCAAGTGTTAGAAATTTAACAGCCAGCTGCGGGAGTTTCACATCATACTTTGATACGTTTCAGAGTCTCCCAGTTGTACTTGGGGCTGGCTGTGGTCTTCAGCATCACATTTTCTTTAACTCATGAGTTCTGGGACTCACGCTGCCAAGCTGTATGTGTCACATGTGCAGAAGCAGAGTTTTCAGTTTAGTGACTAAGTCAGTAGTCACTGCTGGGGAAGGTCCTGGTTTATACTTAAACTAAACAGTTTTTAATTTGTTTAGGTTAGAATTTAGATTAAGCTGGCCAACGTGGGTTTTAGTATTGGCTCACCTAGTACAAGGCTCTTTGAAATCACCATCATATGCATGTATCACTTGATTTCAACTAAATTATGAGAGTAGATAATTGAGTTTTCCCCTTTTCTTTCCAGTGAAAGGATTTTTTTATGTTTCATTACTACTTGGCATTCTGAAAGAGATAACTGGGAGTTCCATGATTCAGAAAAGAGACTCAGACGAAGACGTTACAGCACTGTTTGACACAGTACAGGAAGTGTTTCAGAAAATGTTGGAGTGCATTGCACGGAGCTTCAGGACACAACCAGAAGAAGGCCTTCGGGTACAGGCACCTTCCCTAGCAGGTCATGGGTTGGAGGGTGTGTGCTAAAGGGTGCTGTGGGTTGGGTGCATGGAGATCATGGGTGCACATGCAGGCATGACTCTTGCTTCTGCAGCCTGCTGTGGACATGGGGCTTGGCTGGATGCCAGCATGCAGACCCACACCCTGTTTTATAGACTGCACCAGATTCAGAGCAGGAGCTTAGGAGTCCAGGTCCCCCAACCAGCAGGACCCAAAGCAGAACAATTGCCATAGCCTCTGTGTGCCCAGCATTCACCTCGCAGAATTCCTCAGATAAAGTACACTTTTGAAGATGGTAATTTTGATTATTTGTAGAGGGGCAGAAGCCGTACCCGGGAGAAATGCTAGTTTCCATTGTAGGTTATTGTGTCATTGTCAGTGTCAGTCCCTTGGTTGGAAGCAGAATCACGGACCTGAAATGACCATGACTTCCTGTGATGGTAGACGCTGATGGGATGTGAGATAATTGAGGAGCCGGCTCATATAAAACCTGTGTGCTTGATGTGCTGCACTCCTAGAAATAGCATATTGCCAGTTCCTGAACAGATTGATGTTGCTATGGAAAGAGCCTTTGTTTTTTTCTACTGATGAACTGTTGTTTTTGATGAAGATTTTTTAAAATACTTAAATGGAAGGCTGTTCATGAAATGCTGAAGACTTTCAGTTGTAGTCTGTCCTTAGTGGATGGAAGTGATTGAAGGTTGCTGGCCGTATTTTTCTTAGCTTAGTTCCCACTCGAGTTCATGTGAAGTGTTTGTGTTTGGTGAGTTGTTAGGTGTCTGCCTGTCTATGTAATGTGATTTATTCCAAACCTTTAATTTTCTTGTTATGTCTTTTACCATTGGTTAAGTATTCCTCTTTGGAACACACTGCCCCAGTGGCCGTCTTAGTGTTAATGATGCTTCTTACTCCTCTTCCCTTCCTTCTGTCCCTCCCTCTGTCTCTGGAATTTAAACTCAGGGCCTTATGCTTGCTAGGCAGGTGCTCTACCACATGAATCAACTCCTAGCCCTTTTTGCTTTAGTTATTTTATTTTAAAAAACCATGACTTTCAGCTCTGCTGACAATGACTGGTGTGTTTTCTTGTAGCTCCTTTATTCTGTGCAGATCCCTCTTCATGAATTTATAACCACTGTCCAGACTTGGCACAAGGACACTCCGGTCCATCGTGGGGTGCTTTCTACTCTTATTGCTGCGCCTGTGGTTGAGATAAGTCACCAGTTGCGAAAGGTGAGGCATATTGATCCTGAAACCACCGTGTCTCTTTCTGCTTCTAGCAGTGCACATTTAAGTTCTCCAGACGCCAACCTTTAGAGAGGTTTCTATTCTTCTATGGCATGCCACAGCTCCCACTCAGGAGGAGGACATGTTGAGGGTGTCATCACTCCTGACAGAAGTGGAGCTTAGAGGAGACTTCTCTCCTGGGATGTAGACAGGGCCACTCTGGGCTGTGTTGGTATGGAATGATTCACACACCTCTGGCTGCCTGCTGTATTGATAAGGGTTTTTTTTGTTTTGTTTTTCCTAAGCATAGGAAATGCAAATTTCTGATGTTGGTTTAAATAGACAATTTATTCGTACTGATTTTGTACTAATTTTCTTATCTTCTTAGCAGTACTTATAGATTTATTACTAATACAGACATTATTAACCTATGGTGAAAGATTGATCTATTCAGGATGGCAATTCAAACCTACACAAAAAGTGCTGCTTCACCATATGAAACACAGGCTGTCCTTTTCTCCTTTCCCTCAGAGATGCCCTGTGAGGGCACAGGGGAGACTGGAGAGGAGAGTGGAAGTAACAATGACAAGGCAGGCTGTCGCTGACTTGTGCATATGCACACACGTGGTCATATGCCACTTGGCCACGAGACGTGTTCTGAGAGAGAGGCACATTGTTAGGTGATTTCTAGTTGGGCCACGTTCTGGATGTGCTTATGTGAACTTTACTGTGCTGTATAATCTTATGGACACCATTGGATATATAGCCCTCACTGACCAAGCGTTGACGTGCAGCACGTGACTATAAAAATTGTGTAAATTTTTAATATGAAAGCATAACTAATAAAAGATGTTTGCTAAATTCTAAAACATCAATTAGAATTTAAGACCCTCCTTCAAAGCTGGAAGGGAAGTTATTTGGTTTAGGAAAGTAAGTGCTAAGTGATACAAAGAATAAGAGTAGAACTTAGTCCACCAAGCTGTGTAGCCAAGATGATAAACTACTAACTACCATGGGCCACACCTATAAGGGTGCTCCCTTCTGTGACACCTCGAGGTACTTGTGTGTGTTCTGTGCCGTGCAGCTGAGCTGTGTGACAGCTGTGCCTGCTGTGCTCTACCAAGAGTCCTACCCTTCTGCCCCTTTCCAAGCAAGACAGGCCTACTGCTTCCCCACCAGCTCTGTTGTTGGTGTCTGGCTACATTTTCTCTCTCATTTGTTCTGTCGTTTTTTCTTTGGTGTGTTTGGAGCTTTGTTATTGGGTGCACACACATTTCAAATTGTGTCCTTTTTTGATGGATTGACCATCCTATTGTTAATGATCTCATTGTGGCATCTACGTGACAGTTCTACACAAATAGCTTTCTTACGTATCATGTTTGCATAACCCAGCAGTGTTCATCCTTTTACTTCTAGCCTCTCTTGTGTTTAAAGTATCTCCCAGTGCCACATGAGTGGTTTTTCAAAAACCCAGTCTAACATCTCTGCTTTTTATTTTATTTGGGTACTTGTAGTTCATTTGATTTTAATGAAGTTACTGGCATATTTGGAATTAAGCCTATTGTCTTGGCGTTTGCTTCCCTCAGTCCCATTTGCCTTTCTTCCTTTCCTGACCATTTTTGATGAATCAGGTGTTTCACTGTTCCCATTTGTCTTCTCTGTGGGGCTTATAGGATTCTTTATGTAGGTTTTTCATTGGCTTCTCTAGACGCTTCAGCCTGCATGTGAATTCGTTACATTGAGCCTTGCCACATCCCTCACAGAAGTCTGATAGCCACGTTCTTCTCACTAGAACTCCCCTGCCCCTTAGGCTCTGGTCCAATGTTTCACTTCTACATTGCCTAAAAACCTCAACACACATTTAATTACTGTTACTTTAACCAGTCAGTAGTCTTGCCTCGCTGTATGAGAAATGCATCTGCTCTTGTGTTAAGACGTGAGGCGCTGTAGTAAGTGGTGCTGTCTCACATAGTGATTGACTTTGGCATGCGAATTTGTGTTACGACCCTTGCAGAGCCTTGATACGGCTCTTTAGAAGTGCTGTCTTGTCGTGTGGACACAAAGTCCCCCAGGATAGCCAAGAATTGGGCAAAGGACAGAGAGGCAGGTGCAGGGTGAGATGGGCATTGGGTAGGAAACATGCACGAGCTTCTGCTGGCAGGGAGAATTCTGAGTTTGGACCAGGAACCATTGCGTGAGGAACTCCTCACCAATGACCTGTCTAACCTTATGTGGCTGGTAGCGAAGAGAGCTGTGCAGGGGGTGCCCCACCACTTTGCTACAGGGACGCTGTCCCTCCAGGCCATGGGGCGTGCTCTGTCACAGAGGCCAGGGATGCTGCTTAACACAGCACTTTGCACAGTCCCAACACAGACAGCGATTAGGCTGAATGCCAGCACACCCAGATCAAGAAATCCTAATCTGGTCTAAGAAGGAGAAGGGGTTTAATTGGCCTAGCATAAAGACATGTTATTTATAGAAGAGGATATCATGTTAAAGACCACTTGACAAAGGCTTGCTGAGTGGCATGTCTTCTTTCTTTATCTCTGCCTTGCTGAGTAACGCTTCCCTGTGCACAGTAGCAAAGCCATTCTCTTGAGTTTCTGGTAAGCTTTTCTTGGGTTTAGAAGAAAACCCAGATCATTGTAAAGTAAGCTATTAGTTCAGGCTCAATTGATAATTTACTAATTTGAAACTTGTTTTTTAGGTTTCTGATGTAGAAGAGCTGGCCCTACCACAGTGTCTCTCTGACCTCCCGCCTTTTTCAAGGTGTCTGATAGGAATAATAATGAAGTCTCCCAACGTGATGAGGTAATTGTCTTCTCGCTAGAGTTCTTTTTTTTTTTTTATTATTATTCATATGTGCATACAAGGCTTGGTTCATTTCTCCCCCCTGCCCCCACCCCCTCCCTTACCACCCACTCCACCCCCTCCCTCTCCCCCCTACCCCCTCAATACCCAGGAGAAACTATTTTGCCCTTATCTCTAATTTTGTTGTAGAGAGAGTATAAGCAATAATAGGAAGGAACAAGGGTTTTTGCTGGTTGAGATAAGGATAGCTATACAGGGAGTTGACTCACATTAATTTCCTGTGCGTGTGTGTTACCTTCTAGGTTAATTCTTTTTGATCTCACCTTTTCTCTAGTTCCTGGTCTCCTTTTCCTATTGGCCTCAGTTGCTTTTAAGGTATCTGCTTTAGTTTCTCTGCGTTAAGGGCAACAAATGCTAGCCAACTTTTTAGGTGTCTTACCTATCCTCACCCCTCCCTTGTGTGCTAAAGCTTTTATCATGTGCTCAAAGTCCAATCCCCTTGTTGTGTTTGGCCTTGATCTAATGTCCACATATGAGGGAGAACATATGATTTTTGGTCTTTTGGGCCAGGCTAACCTCACTCAGAATGATGTTCTCCAATTCCATCCATTTACCAGCGAATGATAACATTTTGTTCTTCTTCATGGCTGCATAAAATTCCATTGTGTATAGATACCACATTTTCTTGATCCATTCGTCAGTGGTGGGGCATCTTGGCTGTTTCCATAACTTGGCTATTGTGAATAGTGCCGCAATAAACATGGGTGTGCAGGTGCCTCTGGAGTAACCTGTGTCACAGTCTTTTGGGTATATCCCCAAGAGTGGTATTGCTGGATTAAATGGTAGATCGATGTTTAACTTTTTAAGTAGCCTCCAAATTTTTTTCCAGAGTGGTTGTACTAGTTTACATTCCCACCAGCAGTGTAAGAGGGTTCCTTTTTCCCCTGCATCCTCGCCAACACCTGTTGTTAGTGGTGTTGCTGATGATGGCTATTCTAACAGGGGTGAGGTGGAATCTTAGCGTGGTTTTAATTTGCATTTCCTTTATTGCTAGAGATGGTGAGCAATTTTTTCATGTGTTTTTTGGCCATTTGAATTTCTTCTTTTGAGAAAGTTCTGTTTAGTTCACTTGCCCATTTCTTTATTGGTTCATTAGTTTTCGGAGAATTTAGTTTTTTAAGTTCCCTATGTATTCTGGTTATCAATCCTTTGTCTGATGTGTAGCTGGCAAATATTTTCTCCCACTCTGTGGGTGTTCTCTTCAGTTTAGAGACCATTTCTTTTGTTGAGCAGAAGATTTTTGGTTTTATGAAGTCCCATTTATCTATGCTATCTCTTAGTTGCTGTGCTGCTGGGGTTTCGTTGAGAAAGTTCTTACCTATACCTACTAACTCCAGAGTATTTCCTACTCTTTCCTGTATCAACTTTAGAGTTTGTGGTCTGATATTAAGATCCTTGATCCATTTTGAGTCTCACTAGAGTTCTGAAGCTTACAGGGCTACAAATGCTCTTGGCGATTTTGCTCTGTCCCTTTACTAAGATATCTCAAAGGTGGTTTGTCTTTGAGATAAACATTCTATACAAGTTTTTTCCACTTCAGTGGTCGAAAATAATTACATTAGACTTTTTTTGTGTGCAGTACTGGAGTTTGAACTGAAGGCCTCACACTTGCAAGGAAGGCACTCTACTACTTGAGCCACTTCCCCAGCCCTTTTTTGTGTTGAGTGTTTTCAAGATAGGGTCTCGAGAAGCACTTGCTGGGGCTGACCAGCTCCCAGCAGGTTTAAAGAAGAACTTTGACTTTCTGTATGGTATATTCGTCTGCATAGTCTCTGGTTATGTTTACCATAGCCAGATTCAGTTAGGAGGAGAGATATGAATGTGCAGTGACACACTTCTTAACATGTACTCTAGACACTTTGCTACATTGAACACCAGTACAGTTGGTTTGGCTTTCTTTGGGTTTTTTTTTTTTTTTTTGTGGCAGTAGGGTTTGAACTCAGGGCCTTGTGCTTACTAGGCAGGCACTCTACCACTTGAGCCACTCTGCCAGTCCTGTTTGATGTTGGGTATTTTTGTGATAGGGTCTTGTGAACTATTTGCCCAGGTTGGTTTTGAACTGCAATCCTAGGATTTTAGGCATGAGCCACCTGCACCCCTCTACCAATGTAGTTTTTGTTTAATACATGGTGGTGACTTGTTTCCTCAGTACTTGCATCACTTGACTAAGATTCTAGGGTCTTTATGACCCTAGAACACAGGACTGAAGAGGCCCAGGGCTTGGTTCTGCAGACTGAATACCTGTGGGACTGTATAGTAGATGCATTCCAAGAACACCTAAAAGCAGCATTTTGGGCAGCTAGGAGTGACCTTTCAGCAGCAAATTAATCCTTTTGTGTGCATTGGGACTGTAGAGAGGAGTTTTCCAAGAATATCATCTTGTGCATGACTTGCCATCTTAAAGTGAGACGTGGGGGAGGAGCTCGATTTCCCATTGCCTGACAAATGGCATTTGTGGTTGTTGATGGACCCTGCCTATGTTTGTTTCTCTATGTAGTATTGAGCATATACTATAAAGTAACTTCGTGTGTTTATTAATTTTGTAGGTCAGTTTTGGATGAGCTAAAGTCATGTGTGATGTCTGGCGATATTGAAGGCATTGTGTGCCTCACAGCTGTTCTGCATATCATTTTGGTTATTAACAAAGGTGGGTTCCTGCTCTTCATCTGGTGTGCCTTGCCCCACTGTTTCTTTGTTCCACCTGGGCTACTCTGCTTTTTGAACACAGTGCCTTCCATCTGACTGGGCTTTCTCTTTGTAGCCAGCCTGCACCTGTCTCTTCAGTGCAGCTCCTTCAGCCTTTCACATTCCTCTGCTGGGTGCTCATAAATGATGCCCTCAGAATTACATTTCTGTTCATTTGCCCTGTATTTCCTATACTTAAAAAGCTGGATGGGTGTGACTGTGAAGGCCTGGAGTCCCTGTAATCAGGATGATGCACAAGGATTACTAGAATTTAGGAGTTTGAAGACGAAGATGAACTGCCTGTAACTTTCTGTGGTGTTAGATCAGTTATACTAATGCCAACATTATTTTCAAATTTAATATGTTGTTAGGTAGCGATTGCTCTCCCTTTGGGCCTGAGTGTATGGCATATCTGTAAATTTATCATACAGGTTGAGCACCCTTGTTCCAAATGCTTAAATTTTGGAATATTTGCGTAGACTGTACTGGTTGAGAATCCCTAATTTGAAAACTCAAAATTTGCAATGCTTCAAAATCTGTAAGTTAGAGCGTCCTTTAAGCAATCAAAAAATTTTGGATTTTGGGGTATTTCAGATAATAGATTTCTGGGCCAGAGATGCTCAATCTGTGACGTGGTGGACCCAGATTGGGCACAGAAAAGACTTCTGAGAACCCCCGAGTTGAGATGCATGGAGCCATTGAAGTGTGCAGAGGAGGGTTGTCCCCATGAAGAGGCATGAGGGTAGAAATTGTGCCGATTTTCTGGCACTGTATGGGTTCTTAGACAGGTGGATGACTGAAGTATTGGAGTTGTCATTTCTGTCTGGTGGCCTAGTGGCTGCATGGGTAAGGTCCACATGCTCTTCACTCACAGCAGATGTGCTATCACAGCATTTTTTGATCTTTACAACATCCCAGTGAGAGGGATGATTATTGTCCCACAGGCCAGCAGGGGTTAACTTGAAGGGAAGGAAGGAAATCCATCCATGTACACAGAGTATGTCTGCTTCTGTGTAGAGATGTTGAGCTCTTTGTTTCAATTCGATCTTCTCCCAGGTAAACACAGAAGTTCCAAGGTGAAGGAGACTGCAGCCACTGTGCACAGAAAGCTGAAGACATTCATGGAGATAACTCTGGAAGAAGATAGCATCGAGAGGTACAGTGTGAGAGTGGGTGTTTGGGACTGAGCTTTGGCTTTCATTTTGGCTTTTTAGAGCCAAGGGGTAGAAGCCTGGCAGTGTAAGGATAGAAACTTTTCCATTTAATGTACTTACTAATTCCGTCTGCAGAAAAAAAAACAGAACTGTCATTTGCAAAGTTTTGCTGGAGAAAAGGAAGGGCATTCACTCTCACCTCAGAGTTTTCTCAGTAGGCACTGCTTATGGTGGTTTGCTGCATATGAAACCATGGGCATTCCCTAGACACGAATGCCTGTCCATGTTGGGGTGGCCTCTGATGAGATGCATTTTCTTTTCTTTCTAGGAAGCCTGTTGCAGCCCACACTGCTGGTGACCAGTGTGGGGTCCTTTTTTCTGTCAGAGCCTCTTGTTCTTTGTGCTGTCTTTGTACACCATGCATTTTCTTGTAGATTCTGTTATGAATTATGTTTGACTTTAAGTCAGCCATAAAAAAGTGTTTTCCTGCTTTTTTATGAAAAAAGGCTCTGCACTGGGTAATGCTAGTTTTGCTACTTCTTTAGAGAAGTGTTTCCAGAATTCCAAATTGATTTTATGAATAAAGTTCCAAATTGTGACTTTTTATAGTTATTATATAGACACAGGTATACTTAATGCTCATGTTATGGGGAAATTAGATTTACAAATGATTTGAGAATTGAGGTTTTTACACTTAACAGAAGGGCTGTTGAGTACATTTCAGTCCAATTACCCTAATTTTACCATTGTTAGTGAAATGGACTTTGTTAGCTTCATTGGGAACTCTCCATAAAAATGAAGTAACAAGACTTAATTTCTTTGAGATTTATTTCAGACTTTTTGGGAGTTTTTTTGGTGATGCTGGGAATTGAGCCCAGGGCTTCACAAACGCTAGACAAGTTTTCTAACACTCCTCAGCCCTTATTTCACATTTTAAAAATGTTTGATTTATTTTTTCCCAGTCATTAGTGACTTGGACATTTTGGTAGTTTTAGACTAAATATGTGATATATTAATTTAAACACACACCAGAGACAAACTACTGACACACTAGTGTGTGAATGCATTGCATGTATCAGGTGAGGCCACACAGTTTACCTTTGTGTCTAGAACAGTGGCCTCCAGCTGTGCACTTACACAGCACACTGGTGACTGTACAGTCTTTTTTGGTTGGGTCTCTTCCTGCCTGCTTGTCTTGTCCCCAGTGCCTGTCCTCCGTCATCCACAGTCTCCTTGGCATAGCCCCAATTGAAGCCCCTCTGTGAAATTCACACACAGTCCTACCTGCTTAGTGGAGGAAAGGAAGGGAGATTGGAGGACAGGTAGATAGAAGCAGATTTTCCTTGGACAGTTAATGAACTAATGTGGGAACAGTTCCAAAAAACTTCAGGAATGTTTCAAGGAAGTCAGTGACTTGAAAGCTGGAACTCCTTTGTATAGCTAAACACATGCATTTCACTGGTAGGGATAATGATGTAGGAAGTCCTTGTTACCCTTGTTGCTTTTGTAAATTACAAATAGATGAAATAATCAGAAAATTTAAATGCAAAATGTTTTAGGAAAAAATGGGATAGATTACATCCCTCAGTAACACGGGGGAATTGGATAGAGGATGCTGAAATTCACTGATCCTCAAAGCCTTGTATGAGTGGTGTAGAATTTGCATATAATGTTCAGATATCTTCCTATATCCTTTAGATCACAGCTAGATTCTGTACAATACCAAATGCAATGTAAATGCCATGTGGTAGTGTATTGTTTACAGAATATTGAGAAGAAAAAAGTCTGTTTGGTACAGATCAGTTTTTTTTGTAATATTTTTAATCTGTGATCAGTTGAGTCCATGGGTGTGGAGCCCACAAATACAGAGGACTGACAGTAGATTGGCTAATGTTGAACAATTCTTACAATGTTAGGATAAATTAGTGGGTTTTGTTTTAAAAGACTTAATTCACAGCAAACTTTGAAATAAAGGTTCAGCGTTTCCATACATTCCTTCCCCCCACTATTGTTACCCTATACCAGAGGAGTACATTTGTTAGAATTGACACATCACCATAGCCCAGAGTCTGTGGTTTACATTAGGAGTCACTCTTGGTTCCGTACATTCTGAGGGTCTGGGAAAATGTAAGATGACACCCACTATTGTATGATACTACAAACAGAGTAGTTCCCCTGCCCTAAAAATCCTCCATGTCTATTCATCCTTCCTTCTCTCTAAATCTCAGAAGCAATAGGTTCCCATGTAGATGTCTAAGAGGGACTCATGAGACTTGGCTCTCAGACATGCAGGCTGCAGGCTGTGTGCAAGCTGGAGAGCCATAGAAGTCAGTGTCATGGCTCAGTTTGAATCCAGAGGACTGAGATAGGGAAGCCAAGGGCTCAGTGCTTGACCCAAGGCTGAAGGCTAGAGAACCTGGGGGAGCTGGCTTAAGTCCTGGAGTCAAAAGGCTTGAGGACCTAGACTTCTGATACAGAAGGACTGGAGAAGGTGTCCCAGCTCCAGAAGAGAGCAAATTTGCCTTTCCTCTGCTATTTTGTTTTATCCACGCTCTCAGTGGATTGGATTGTGTTCAGCCATGTTGGCTGAGGGCATATCTTCCTCACCTAGTCCACTGATTCAGATGCCAATCTCTTCTGGATACACCCTCACAGACATCCCCAGAAAATGTTTCACCAGCTGTATGGGCATCTCTTAGCTCAATAAAGTTGACACCGAAAATTAACCTTCACATCTACTTTCATTCTTGGCTACTTCCAAGTTTGAGGATTTGTGAATATTTATTTGTGAATAAATGTGTAGGCGTGTTTTTTGTGTGGACATGTGATTGCTGTGTTACATGGTATGAGTGTTCAGTCCTATAAGAAGCTTACCTGTGCTCCAGAGGGACTGCACGATCTTGCATTTGTATCACTTGCTCCACATGCTCACCTGTATATGGTGCTGTCAGTGTCCAGATTTTGACATTTATTATGTGTGTAGTGACATTCCCCCCCTTACTGATTTTTTTGAGACAGGGTCCCTCTATGTAGGGAAACACCAGGCTGGTATGGAACTTGCTCTGTAGTCCAGGCTGGGTCAAAGTCATGATACTCCTACATCTGGAGTGCTGGGATTACAGCCTTGTACCACCACACCCAGCTCAATGTTGTTTCAATTTGTGATTCCCTGAACACAGTGGAACATCTTTCAATACTCTTATTTGCCATCTTTTTTTTGATGAATATCTATTAATCATGTCTCTTTTCTTATAGCTAAGTTTTAAGAGATCTTTGTATGTTTTGGATAACAGTCCTTATCACATATGTTTTATAAATTTTCTCTTAGTCTATGGCTTGTCTTTTCATCCTCTTGACATTGACTTTAGTTTTTGCAATGCTGAAGATTGAACCCAGGGCCTTGTGCATGCTGTGTCAGCACTATTCCACTTGAACTATATCCCTGACCCTTTCTTCGTTTTTTGTTTTTGAGATAGGGACTCACTAACTTTATCAGGCTGGCCTCGAACTGGCCTGACTGTGCCTCCTCAGAAGCTGGTATTACAGGCATGCATCACTATGCCTGGCCATACAGTGACTTTTGAAGAGCATGATATTTTATGAATTTCCTTTATTTTGATGAAATCCAACTTAGCATTTATTCTTTCGGACTGAGCCCTTGGTGGTGTATCTAAAAAGTGATAGTTAAACCCATGGTCACCTACATTTTATCCTGTTACCTTCTAGGAGTATTATAGTTCAGCATTTGCATTTAGGTTTCTGATCCACTTTGAGTAACATGGTGTAAGGTTTGTGTCTGGATTTGGGTTTTGAATGTGGATGTCCAGTTTTCTTAGTATTGTTTGTTGAAAAGACTATCATTGCTCCATTGAATTCCTTTTGCTCCTTTGTCAACAGTTATTGACCATATTCATGTTGGTCTGTTTCTGGGTTCTCTGTTCTCTTCCATGGATCTACTTGTCTATTTTTTTTCCAGTTCCTCACTGTCTTGATCACTGTAGCTTTAGAGAGTCTTGAAGCCAGGTAACATCAGTATTCCAGTCTTGTTCTTCTTCAATATTGTGTTGGCATTCTGAGTCTTTTCCTTTCATATAGATTTAGATCAGTTTGTCAATACTCACAGAATAATTTGCTGAGCTTTTGACTGGGATTCTGTTGAGTCTGTGTATCAGGCTGAGAACTGACATCTTGACAGATTGGGCCTTCCTATCCATGAACATGGGGTACCTCTGCATTTGTTTGGTTCTTCCTTGATGACTTTTATCAAAGTTTTATAGATTCCCCTTTTGTAAATCTTGTACGTGTTTTGTTAGGTTTATGCCTGAGTGTTTCATTTTTAGGAATGCTGAAGTAAGTGACATTGCATTTTTTTAATTTCAGATTTCATGTGCTTGTTTGATAGTGATTGACTTGTATATTGATCTTGAATCCAACAAATTTACTGTAGTTGCCTATTCTAGGGATTCTCTTGTTGACCTTTTTGGATTTCCTGTGCAGTCATGTCATCTGAGGATGAAGAGTTTCATTTGATTCTTGCCAATCGATAACACCTTTGTTGTTGTTTTGTTATTGCATTACCTAGTACTTCCAGCTCAATGTTCAATAGAAAGGATGAGAGGGTACATCCTTCTCTCATGCATCTCACAGTTAATATGATGTTAGCTGTAGACATTGTTTATTATGTTAAATAAGTGCCCTTTGCTGGGCATGGTGGTTCACTTTTGTAGTTCCAGCTATACATGGAGGGGCAGAGATGAGAAAATCGTGGTCCAAGGCTGCCTTGGACAAAAAATGTGAGACCCTATCTGAAAAGTATCTAAAGCGAAAGGCTAGGGACATGGCTCTAGTGGACTAAACCCTGGGTTAAAGTACTAACCCCCCCACCCCCTACCCCTACCCAAGAAAATAAGACGATGAAGCAGCAGCTCCTCTCTCTTGAGTGTTTTTCTTGTGAATGGATGTGGGATTTTGTCACATGCTTTTGTACATCTGTTGGTATAACCGTAGATTTGGCTCTCGTTTGGTGATCCTTCCTCACATCTCTGTCTTGTAATTGGTGCATTTTGATTATTCTTGTTCAGAATGATTATTGATAAAGTTGGATTAATATCTACTGTATATGTTACTTTCTATCTTTGTTCCTTTTCTTAATCCTCCACCCTTTCCTGTGTTTTATGGTTTTAATTAAGCATTTTTTATGATCTTATTTCCTCTCTTACTAGCATATCACTTACGCTTTTTAAAAAAAAAGTTTCGTGGTTGCGTTAGTGCTTGCAGTATACATTTATAGCTAATCCAAGTCCACATCTGAGTAACACTGTATTGCTTCTCAGGTAGTGTGATCACTTTAACAGCAGAGCGGTCTTATCCCTCTTGCCTCCTGTGTCATGGCTGCTGCTCATTTCACTATACATGTGTATGTAAGCACAAATATACACAAAAGCACAGATAACTAGGGGGGTGTGTGTATACACATATAGTTGTTTTGGTGGCTCTGGGGTTTGAACCCAAAGCCTTATGCTTGCAGGCTCTTACTGCTTAAGCCATTACGCCCACCCAACCAGATATATTTTTGCAGTTCTTATTTTGAACAAACTCTTATGTCTTAGATACATTAGGAATAAGAAAAACAAGCTTTTATTTTCCTTTTTTACTCCTTCAATGTTCTTCCTTTCTTGATGTAGATCTAGGTTCCTGACCTGTATCATTTTTCTTCTATCTGAAAAATTTTTTTAATATTTTTTTTGCAAGGCAACCCCACTGGAAACAAATTATCTCAATTTTTGTTTGAGAAATAAAAATCTTTATTTGTCCACTTTTGAAGGTTCTTTTGTGAGGTGCAGAATCATAGTTTGGAGGTTTTTTCCTCTCAACACTTTAGTATTCCACTACATTACTTATAGGACCCAAGTCTGGCTGCTCTTTGCATGACAGGCCAGTTAAGTCAAGAGACAGAATATTGAGGCCAGGAAGGCAACTGTATGAATAGACAGTTGGACGATAAGATGGAGGCTTCTTGACTAAAGTCCGTCTTGCCAGAAACCTGACTTAGGAGTGGTTTGTACAGGTGGTTGGTGAGTGGTCACCAGATGCTTTTTAGCGCTCATAATTACCCCGGGCTATTCTTGTTATTGATGAGTGTGCCCGTGTGCAGTTCCTGGCATACTGCACAAGGACAAGCTGAGAGTTCAGTAGCTATCCTCTTGCTGGTCACCAGACTTACCTGTAAGAAGGAAGTTGGGCTTGAGATCTCGTCTCAGTGCTTGCCTTCACACTTTCCTCTTGTCTGCATTATCTGAGATGTCATTCTTATGTTTGCTTCTCAGTAATAAGGTATTTTCTCCCTCTGGCTTCTTTCAGAATATCTTCTGTGATTTTCTGAAGTTTAAACTGACAGGGACAGGTGTAGTTTTCGGGCCTTTATCCTGGTTGGATAAATTTGATGCATCCTGGATCTGGCTGGTGTTTGCTGTAGATTTGTGGAAATTTCAGTTCATTGTTGATTCAGATTTTTCTTTGTTCCTTTTGAAATTCTCATTGCACATGTATTACACCTTTTGCACTTGGCACACAATTCTTGGATAGTTTATTCTTGTGTTTGCCGTCTTTGTTCTCTAGTTTTGAAGATTTCTGTTGCGATGAAGCTCAGACAGTCTCTGTTTTCTGTGTCTAGTCTTTCTCAGATTCCTGCGGCTAGTCAGTGCTGCCCAGCATGGGGGCAGTGGAGGGTGGACTGAGATGCTCATGTGGGTGAGGGGCAAATGCATAGGTGAGTGGGCATGTTGGACATTCAGTTAGATAAGATGTTTTGAAGTGGATTTCACCTGTGTCTCTCCATTACCTAGTATAAGCAACAGCCCATCTAAGATGTCAGTCATGCCTCATTGGCACTAGACAGGTAGGGGCAAGAGCAGCTTGACATGAGCCTGGATCTCAGCTCTGGGCACAAGAGTCACATGACATCTGACAACTCAGAATCTTAAATATAGCAGAGGTGCCATCCAGGGTGAGAGAGTAGTATTTGTGTCTGGGGGGAATTCAGAGAGTGTCCCTGAGGAGGGAACTACTAACCAAACCATGTGTTGGAACCAAATAGTACTTACTAGATGAGAAAGAGAAAGGAGTGACCGTGACCATGGCCATACCATGTCAGATAGATGTGTTTGTGTCTGTGTTGATGCGCTGCAGGTGTCTGTGTGTGCACTGTAGGCCAGTCGTGATTCTGGGGACTGGGAGAGATGCTGTGGGGGTAATATGCCAAGTGTTTTCAGCCTGGGTAGGTGGGCTAGCCTCTGTGGACCTCAGACTCTGAAGGCAGTAGAGGCTGTTTTGGTAGTAGAGCTGGTTGGGGGGATTATGTTTGTCTCGTTTTCGGTGGAGAGAGACTCAAGCCTGTGGGTGCCAGGAGGGATGCACACGCATGCTTTCCTGTGTGTGGGGGTCTGATGAGAGGTTCAAGAAGAGTGTTTAGGGCTGGTGGAATGTCTCAGATGGTAAGAGCACCTGCCTAGCAAGTGTGAGGCCTTGAGTTCAAACCCCAGTGCCACCAAAAAATAAAACAAAAAACAAGAAGAGTGTTTAGCAGGGGCCTCTAGGGCTGACTCTCATCAATGTCGTGCCAAGGCTCCCCTGGGGGGTTCTGAGCCACTGTATATACGTGGTACACTTATGTGTTGCTGTGGTCTATTTTTAAGTGTCTGTGTGCACACCGTTCTAAATTGTACTTTTGAAAATACACATTTGGATAATTTGGCCACTTTTTCCTGTAGCTAAGTCTTCCTTTCTTTTTCAGATTCCTGTATGAATTGTCAATGAGAACCTTGGGAGAACTTCTGAACTCATGACCAAGCCACCATCTTTGGACACGTATGAAAGGGGAGAAGGACTCACAAAAGTGAAATGTGTGTGTTTTTTCCTGTGCTTTTAGTTTAATTTGTTTTTTGGCTAGGCTAAACCTGGAGGTCCCCTGAGTTTGTGAATGAAGGGGCCCAGCATGGAGCTTCCCAAAGGTGAAGACTGCAAACAGCACCAGTCCTGCCACTTGACGCACTATGCCTCGCTTGTAGCCAGCTGAGAGTGGGCAAGAAGCAGAATTGGAAGACACTGGCGAGGAGTTCATTCCCCCTGAAATGAAGAGTGTGCCACTGTGGTAGAAATAGCCTAGTAACAGGTGCTGGGACAGAGCTGGCCTGTGATACCCATTGGTGTGTTGTCTGTTTGGAACTGGCTTCTCTCTGGCCTCTCTGCAGGGCTGCCATTACTCACACAGGACCTTTGTGCAAATGAGGAAAGAGATATTTCACTGTCATCTGTTGTGCATTTGTAACATACACAGATCTACAGCTTCTAATGCAAAAAGTGTCCTTGCATAGTGGCACTTGTGCAGTGCCGTGCCTTTACATATGAACTGAGCCACCACATCCAGCAGGCAATAGCCTTCTCCCACTGAAGGTCATTATAAGCTCGGAGAGAACAAATGAATTTGAGCGTTGCTCTGAACCATACATAAAAAGGAATACAGAGCACTAATGCATAGCGCCCCAAAGACAGAATTGAGCTGAGACCTGTGCTGGAGTTAATTGCTGCCTAAAGACTGTTGTCCTTCCTGAGGACCATGGCAGGGACTGGTTGGCCTTGCTCAGTGGATGCACATGCACACACATGGCCCCTTGCCCTGCTTGACCTTTTCCTGTTGACAACTCACGATTTCTTAAAGGTTTTCCCAGTGCCAGTGTAAATAATATATTTAATACAAAGAACCCAGGTGTGTACACCCATGGTACAAAGAAAAAAGGAATTCCAGCAAGCCTGCTTTTAATGACTTGAGAGAGAGAGAGAGAGAGAGATTGACTCTGTGTGTGTGTGTGTGTGTGTGTGTGTGTGTGTGTGTGTGTGTAGCTTGTAGACAAGTATAAGCAGTGATAACTGTTAAGGTTGCTTTCTTGGGTGAACCTACCTTTAAACTCACTAAAGCTCAGGTACTGTGATTGCCCAGGGTGCTGAACAATGAGGAAAGAAAAACCCAGTTGTCCATGGAGGTTCAGGCACCATGGCCCCCAGGACTGCGCAATGAGGAACGTGGAACCCAGTTGTCCGTGGAGGCTGAGCACTGCGACCCCCAGTACTGCACAGTGAGGGTCACAGAACCCAGTTGTCCATGGAGGCTGGGCAATACAACCCCCAGTGCCCTATATTGTGAGGAGTGTAGAATCCAGTCGTCTGTGGAGGCTGGACACCATGGCCCCCTGTCCCTTACACAGTGTGGAACATAGAGCCCAGCCAAATGTGGCTACCAGGACTCTCCACAGCATGGAACCTGGCACAGTGTGTCCTGGAGGTTTGCCCCTGATGCTTCCATATTTTCTTTCTGAGTGCTGTCACCATACTGGAGCAATACTGTGTTGTCTCTGTCTGTCACACCTGCCCTTTGTATGCCAGTTGGTCTCAGCACCCTGAGCTCTGACAGACCTTAGAATAAGTTGGGAATTGGTGCTGCTTAAATTTAATTCTTATTCTATCTGCAGCCCCTGAGCAAAAAAGGAAAGAATTGCTAATGCGTTGGTGCTTATTTTTTTCTAGAAAATACAGAAATGGACTGCTTACTGTAGCCAAGAGCATTTCAGGTTTTATTGGAGAGTAGTTGAGAAACAGCAGGTTTGCGGTGTCTCGTGTCTAATGTTGACATCTCACTACCTACATCTGCAGTGCAGAAATGGCTGCTTGGCCTCTCTGCTTCTATTGTATGAAGGCACCATTTGTCTTAGTTATAGGGTTTCTTCCTGTATAGCTGGTGAGTCCATCTTGCCATAGTGCACTTTCTTCAGTGGCTCTTTTTGCATCTGCATTGTAAACAGGTTTCTTAGAGTACTTCTCCATCATCCCTTTCTGATCTCCATGGAATCCATTGCCTCCTACCCCCAGGCTTAGGGGATCTGGCCACTGTCTCATATTAGTGGCTTTCCTTGAATATCTGGTCATCTTTGTTCACTGAAAGGCAGATTGACTCTGACCATGGTGGAGTTGCCAACTGAATGCAGTGTCTCCAGGTGGTGGTGGGGGAGATGTGGTGGTGTATCTGGGTCTTTTGGGCTGGTGAGATTCTTTGTAGTCCAGTCCTTGCCTGGGCAGTGTCAGCCCAGCCCCAGTGTCCCAGTGCTGAGTGGGAAGGAAGGTGCAAGCACTTGGCAATCAGCAGCATCAGCACTAACTGGTTCCCATTTCACCTCGTTTCCAGAGTCCAGTCATCTGGCAGAGCAGATACAGTGACTCATTGCATCTGCTTCCTACCTCGTAGGTGCTGTAGGGGATTTCATTTTTACCTTCACCCACTCCCAGGCCCTGGGTGGTTCTGAAGCATATCCCAGATACCACATAAAAGCAACCACAGTGTCCTTATTACACCCTCACAATTATGTAACTAACGTATTACTTATGTCAATAAACAGTGCTGACAACATTATAGTGTTCTGTACCACTTCAGCTACGACCCCACACACACACCTTTGGATTCGAGCTGGGGCCTCTCTTATCTTTGCCTGTGTTGGCATGGAGATCCTCCCGCTTCTGCCATCATGTCTGGGTTGTTCTGTTTTGAGACAGGGTGTGTATAGCCCAGGCTAGCCTGGAACACAATCCTCCTGCCTCAGCCTCCTGAGTGCTGGGATTACAGGTGTGCACCACCACACCAGGCTGAGCCTCTTCAAGTTTGCTCCTGTGGACCTTTGCAAGACCCCAGTCTCCTAAGACTGGGTTCTGTGAAATGCCCTTTGGGTGTCCTGAGTGGAGGAGGTCAGATCTGGGTTCATATCTTGGCTTAGCCTCTTAATAGCTATGAAAGTTTTCTAAACTTTTGGAGACTCACTTTTCTCATCTCTAAATCTGAGGTGATGCTGGCAAAGGTCAAATGTGAGGCTCTGAAACAGAAGGAACAATATTTCCCACCCTTTGTTTCAGAAGATGTTTCTGCACACCCTCTGCCCTCTGCCCTCTGCACTCTGGCTGCATGATGCCTGCTGAAGTTTGCACATTATGTATGAAATGAGCACACATCCGCCAATAGTTTATGATAGCCTGATTGCTGGAGTGGTATATGGGGAGGTTAATGTAAAGTGGGAACAATGCTTGACATTCAAACTGGGATTTGGGGTTATCTTTGCATTTCATTCCCCAAAGCCACTTGATCTTCAAATGTCACCTGTGGGGATCTAGAGTCCAAGTCAGATGCAAAGTATTTTAGTTTGGCTCTGCCAGTACACATCTTTTGAGTCCTCAGTTAGGACTTGACTCTTCCATTCTGTGGTCCAAGTTCTCCATTTACTCACAGTGATACTTGCCTCTCCAAAGGGAGTCCATAGTTTAATTAATGCTTGTTCAGTTCTTTATAATCCTCAGGCTGAAGTGAGGATTATAAGTGAGGATCTTAATTTCAGATGGACACAAGGAAGCCCCGTGTTACGGAAAGTCTTTCTTCTGAAATACAAATTGCAAGTCACAATATCTCTAATTGGAAGTGGCCCGAGGAGGTGAGAGCTGGTACGTCTGGGCAGAATCAGGCTGCACAGGCTGGCTCCCAGCCTAGCCCAGAGCAGAGCCAGTCAGCAAGCCCTGGCCTGGAGGAGGCTTAGTTCTGGCCAGGCCAGACTTTCTTTTGGCTTGTGTGCCTTGGGTCTAAAAGGAAGCAGGTTGGCTGGGTAGTTGGCAGGGGATGGTAGATATCCAGGAGGTGGGCACCTCTCAGATCCATTATAGATTCTCTGTTGCTTTACCAGACTGTCAGCAGGAAGTCTGTATACTACTTGCTAATTCTAGAACATTCTTGACCATGAATGTCTTCCAGCAACAGATTTATACCATTTGTTTGGAGAGTGTGGCTCCCTGTGGAAAGGTGTTGGTGGGATCGGTTGCCTCAGATCTTCTCTCCTGTGAACCTTCTTCCTTGGAAGGTGGAAGACACCACACTGATGTGAGCAGCAACAACTTGTGATGTCAGATTCTTTTGGCCACAGCCTCTTGAGCAACAGGGCAGTTAGTGTCCCTGCTGAGTGGGCCACCTCATCTCCAGTGATGTTTATGCACTGTATGAAGTGCTGGTTTCAGGAGGGTTTTAGCTTTTTTTGTTTGGTTTTTGGTTAAGATAAGGTCACACTCTGTTGCCCAGGCTGGTGTTAAACTTCTGGGTTTAAGCGATCCTTCTGCATCAGCTTTCTGAGTAGCTGGAACTCAGGTGTGCCACTGTGCTCCTGGCAGGATTTTTCCAGTAGAATCAAGGAAGGGTGAATTTGCTGAATGTGGACATAAAAGTAGGTTGCTGTGCTCTGGAGTGAGACCTGAGGATCTGGACAGGGTGCACTGTCTCCCCATAAGGCATCTGGAAAGATAGTTTAAACTTCTCAGCCTTCCTTTGTGAAGTAGGAATAGGAGTTGAAATTGACTGGCAGTAATTGGTGCTTCTGTGGGTTTGAGATATTTCTTATTATGGATCACTGATAGGTGTTTACTAATAAGGAGTCTTGAGTCTCCCTTACATAGGTTACCAGGTCTCAACTGTGTAGGTGACTGAAATGAGTAGCAACTAATCACCTCATTGGAAAGCAAGTAGCCCGCAGAGTCCATGAAAAGATGCAGATTGGGGAGCACAACCCAGACCTTGAGCACCAAGGGCCATCTCTCTTGAGTTGCTGCTGTTTGACGCAGTACCAGCCATATCCTTCTGGAATCACTCTACTTTCAGCTTACATTCCAGAGAGGAGAGGGTCTGCCTGGCCTTACTTAGGGCAAGATCCTCTGTTGACCCCTGAAACATCTTGATGGCCAAGAGTTCAATGGAAAAATCTCCACAGAGGAAATTGGGGTGCATCATCACCATTATCTCTACCAGTATTATCACCCCAGTCACCAATCACCTTCAACAGTTTTTCTCACGTCCTGCATGAGCTTGTCCTAGAAACCTAACTGAGGGTGACAGGAAATGCAGAAAGGACAACAGACTGAAGACCAAACATGCACAAAGCTAGGGCCAGGTAGGCTGTGTGCTCAGATGGAGACACACAACAGCAGCCTCCACCTCCAGCGAGTTTATTATATACAGTGGCAAAACGAGGTGGAGCAGCAGTTCTCAGGAACAGGAGGAACCTGCGACCACTTCTCTCTGAACATAAACATCTTAGGAAAAACAGCTGTACTGCATCTTGCCCACTTCTGCAGCTGGGGCTGTGCCAACTCAAGCCTACAGTTTTTAGGCATAACTGTGTTTGCTCCCTTCTGTGGCTGGGGCTGTGCCAAACTTAAACCTGCAGTTTATGTGATACAGCTGTGCTTATGTACTCCACTCTGCACAAGTTTTATCTTCATCACTTCCACCACCACCATCACCATAGCCTATTTTCGTCATTACCTTCACTACCACCAACAGCATACCGACACTTCTGTCTCCATCACCTTCACCACCATCATAGCCCCTCATCACCACCACCTTCATTGCCATCTCCTTCATCATCACCTCTACCACCATCACAAACTATTATCACCACTACCACCATTATCAACACTTCCACGTCCATCAACACTATCACCACCACCTCCATCACTACCCTCATCAACATATCACCATTATCTTTATCAATTTTCATCCCACCATCATAACCACCCTAGTCATCACAATCATACCTGCCACTACCATAACCACTATAGTCATCATACCGCCACCATCTTCACTACCCCAGTC